AAACCCTTATAGAGAAACTTTGGGAACATAAGCTGCACTATGCCAATCTGACCCTTTTCATAGACAAATATTGAATACAGTTCTCCTCTTTGGCATCATCCTGCTGTGTGTGATGATGGTGAATGTGAAGATCTTCAAAAAAAGCTATATTATTGGCTATATAAACATTTTAAATATAAAAATGACCACATTGTTACAGCCCTATAGGGTCAAATGGAAAACCTTGAAACAGTAGAGGACAGTACTGCCATTTAGTATAATAAAAAAGGAACATGAATAATTTAGAGGAGGAAGAAGCAAAGACCAATGCAGAAAAAAATTGTAATGACACCAGCAGCATTTAAAATGGTTCATTTGATTCAGCATCGGTAACACATTATGCACTATTAAGAACAATCATTTAATTTGTAATTATTATGATGTTTGATTATGTAAATACATGGGGAATATTTTATGATCTTTTGTGTGGTGGGTTGTGTTAATCAGTAAATAGTAGTCATACTGACCTGTTTGCATTATCATTACTTTTTTGGAATATAACCTCTGAAGTTACAAATAGATAATATATTTAATAAGGTTTTATGGTGTAACCGAAAGTGGACCTGCCACCCACGAGTGTGTGGATGACCAGGTCCTCCATCAGGGGTAAACAACCCATACATGTGTAAGGGGTCCACGGGCCAACCAACAAGTTTTGTTCATTTTTAAGTTGTTTTTTTGTTTGTTTATTTTTTTTGTCTAGTGGAGTGGTGTGCCGGGGCACCAGAACAAGTGCCCCCCTTGAGGAGACTACAAGCACCTGGCAGCAATCAGCTTTTATTGTGCATACATATTTTTTTGCAGCATGGTGCTGATGGATTTGACCAGAACCATGTGTTCTCTGCATTACATCCCTCATCACTCCCATCGTCTCTTCTCTTCCCTTTAACTTATAACCTCACACTATCCCTATCTCCACCACCCCTACTTCCCTCTGCCTCCCAATTACTTTTACAATCCCTTCTCTCCCTCTCAACCATCCCTTCCATTCATACATTCTCTTGCCCATACTCCTATTGCTTCCCACAAATCCCTGGCCCATACTCCAGGAACCAGAATGTTGCTTTTGGCAATAGTCCATGTCCGGCTTTAATCCTTGATTCATATTAGCGCTAAATAATAGATTTTCTGTGCCATCAACAATATTTGGCAGTGTCCCTTTGGATACGCCCCTGGTCTGTTGCCAATCAATTTGACTAACATCATGTGAATCAGCACAGCCCCACGGCTGCCTACTATAATTATCCCCTGGTACTCAAACAAGGGTGGCCTCATCCCTCTGCACAGTGCTCGGTGTTTGGGGAAGAGGGACAAGGATGGGAAGTGGTATGACATCCCTGTGTGACTTCACACAGAGCACTGAGACCCACCATCCAGGCAAGAGTACTCCCAGGTATCTGAATGAAAGCTAGTGGAGAGACACAAGGGGAGGGGAGATGAGAGCAGTGGGTGTATTGAAGCTGTGAATGTATGTGTCTAAAGGTATTACTGATTGCCCATTAGTGTGTGTGACACTGTGTGTGTGCGTTTATGTGTGTACACCTATGAGTGATGTATAACTGTGAGTACATGTCTGTGAGTATGAGTCTATATGTGTACCTGTGTGCGTGCCTGTGTCACTATATGGGTGTGTCTGTATGATTTCACTTGTGAGTGTTTTTGTATGTTTCCTTAAATGTGTGTATGTTCCTGTACGTGCCATTTGCTTTGAAGAGACACTTTATCTTCCCACTACAGTCGTATGGTTGCTATCCCCTCACACTACTGCCTCTATCTCCCCCTGAGAGCCTGTAATTTCCTCCAAGATAACAGAGACCGAGCCAAGAGACTGTATCACATACTGAAATAAACTCTGCCTTTCGGATATTACTTTGTGTGCCCAAGTCTTATATGTTCATTTGTATTGCTGTAAACTTGCACCTCATTTCATTGGTGCACCGAAGTGGAACTTTTTCCTGAGGGTGTGCAACTACAACTTGGTTAACAAAATGGGGGATTGTCTGCTACTCAAAACTCACTGAACTGATTCTGCACATTGTCATGATTATTTACTAAAGTGAGAATGAAAACTGAATTTCAAGTTCTAGTGCCCATCCCACCACAAGCACGTCTAATGATGTACTCACACTGTCTTCCCCAAGGATAGTTCCCTGATGTCTTCAGAAGTGGGAAACTAGGTAACAAAATTGGAATTCCAGGACAGGATCCTGAAATTGTGACTGTCCTGCCAATTTCGAAACTGTTGAATCAAATGTTGTACCTAAATACTTGGCAACTTTGGCAAATATGGAGTCAGAACAGGATGGGATAGAGGGCAGCTTGGTGATATGTCACTGACACGTATCCCCCATAACCACGTCCCTTTTGTCATAAGCAGCTAATAAAGGAAGTATATCATACATAAATCAGCCTGATAGCTCAGTTTATAATTGAGCTTACTATTTAATAGTACCAAAAGGAAGCTGTATTGCAGAGTAAGTTTCAGAAAATGAATTTGCTCCTGTGGCACTGTCTGTCCTTGCAAAAATGGGACAGGTAAATACTTAACTGAAGTTTGTATTCAGGTCTCCACTAATGGCTTTGCATAACCCATAATGCAAACATTACAAAGTTGTGAAGACGCACTCATATGTCCTGCCCAGCTCCTTCTGGCAATGGTACGGGGCGACAATCAGGAAGCTTTGGACTGGGTGCCACTAATAGACTAACAATGTCAACCTTTAGCATTATTTAGCAGTTTTGATGTATATGTAATGTGCCTCCTTACTCACTGCTCAATACTTCCACTTTGTTTATGCAGCCGTAACCACACCTTCCCTGTAACTCTCACAGCCTCCATGAAAATAAAGGTTGCATTTTTACAGCACAGTGTGTTTATTTTAGACGTTTATATTTCCTGTTGTGCTAGTTGAAATGTAAGCACAGACAGGAGGCTGCTTCAGGCTCTAGCAGGCAATTAACAGAGCAGGAGATACAACTTCTAAAATAAACACACCTTGCAATAAGGGAAGCTAAAAAATTTTGACTTCTTATTTTGGCATGGAGGAAGACTGTGTGAGTCCCCTCGAGGGGAGGTGTAGCTAGGGCTTCATAAAGAAAGAGATATACTGTATATACTCGAGTATAAGACGAGTTTTTCAGCACATTTCTTGTGCTGAAAACCCCCCACTCGACTTATACTCAAGTCACTGCCTTTATTATGGCAACTTACATTGTCATAATACAGACAAGGACCGCCGGGCTCATTACAAGCCCGGCGGTCCTGTTGGGGGCTGGCAGAGAGCTTTAACTTACCTTTCCTGCAGCTCCCTTCTCTCTCCTCCGGTCCGGTCAGCTCCCCTGTAAGTCTCGCAGTCTGAGTGCCGCGCGGAGCGTTGCCGTGTGTCAGAGCCCGTGGCAACGCTCCGTGCGGCACTCAAACCACAAGACTTACAGGGGAGCTGACCGGACCGGAGGAGAGAGAAGGGAGCTGACAGGAGCTGCAGGAAAGGTAAGTTGCAGCTCGCTGCCAGCCCCCCTCCTACACAGCCCATGCCTCTAGACCACCAGGGAGTGAGAGCCCCCCTCCCTGGCCATGTATCAAGCAGGGAAGGGGGACGAAAAAATCTAAATAAATAAAAATGTAAATAATAATAAAATATTAATATTAAAATAATAATAATTTAAATTTTTTTTATAAAAATGCCCACCCCCCACCAAGGCTCTGCATCACATACACACTGCACTCACACACACACACACTGCACTCATACACAAACACACCGCATTATATACACACACACACTGCATTCATACAAACACACCGCATTATATACACACACACACACACTGCATTCATTATATACACACACTGTAAATAAATATTCAATTAATATAATTTTTGGGGGATATAATTTTATTTAGAAATTTACCAGTAGCTGCTGCGTTTCCCACCCTAGTCTTATACTCGAGTCAATAAGTTTTCCCAGTTTTTTGGGGTAAAATTAGGGGTCTCGACTTATATTCGGGTCGACTTATACTCGAGTATACACGGGTAACTTCTAAATGACAGAGAACAGAGCAATGAGACTGCTGGGTCATGATTTATACACGAAAACTGCTTCATTAAGTTAAAGTTGTTTGGTGCTTAAGGTGTCCCTTTAATAAAGTTGGTCACAGGCTATTTATGGGGAGCAAAAATGTGCCTAGCATAATTTGTTGTTCCGTTCACTGCAATTAGTTTTTTTAGTGAATAAACCCGAACAGATGAAATTGTGGCATGTGGCACTAGCATACTTATTGGCTAAACTCCAAATTAGAAACATCCATACCCCGAACAATGGCATTCTATGTATCGGGATGCTGGTGGGTTAAATAAGGGTGGACCAGTGATCCGAATCACATCAATGGTGCTGCCCAAATGAGGTGGACTAGCTGGAATGGAAGTGGGTTCGCCTGATTAGTATTTCAGCCTGGTGTGCTGTCTGTCCATCATCCAGGCTAGCCCACTGATTGTGAACGTTGCAAAAAGTACTGTTTCAATGCTCTCTGCAGGATCCTACTGCCCTTAGCAGACACCAGGGTACAAACCCCGGGTGGTGAGGGACAGTACTCTTAATTGTAGTGAATTAAATTCCCAATGGGAAACAGTGAGCTCAGCAATTTTAGCTTGAATGTTTTCTTTGGGTATCTCAAGCACTACAATTAATAGTTTAGTGAATAATCCCCAGCGCAATTCTTAACTGGTCTAGCTGAACAAAAATGAGCAAGAGATTTTCATTGCCCACCAGAACACTTTTGATTAAATATTTGCCTTTTCCTAGACAGTCATTTAACAGTCACAATTGGATGAAAAAGCAACAACTTGGCCAGGAAATGGGAACGAGGCTTGGAACGCGGAACTCAGTGACATCACGGACCCGGTTTCCCAAGCTGGCCGGAGCCGTTGAGAGCTGACTTGTCATTTCTCGCTATCTGCCGGGATGGAGAGAGCAGCGGACACCATGACCCGTCTTTCGCCCGTCTCTGCCAGCAGTCATTCTTCATGTGGGAAGCAGTGAGGCCTGGGCCCTGAATAGCCTGAAACAAAACCAAAAGTAACCTTTGTGTCCGGAAGAGAAGCTCCACTGACACAGGGAAGAGTAACACACACACACACCCCCCCTGAGAGTGGCACTCCGGACAGGCAAAGCACCAGGTATACCTGCACCTATTACAGCTGGGATGTGTCGGGACACTGCTTGTAGGATATCTGTGTTTTGGGATAAAGGGATAGATAGGGGTTAAAGGTCCCAGCAGTTGGTTTAAAGAGACCAGGAAGAAGTACAGGACATTGTCAGGCTTGTATTTATCTCAGGGCCTTATGGTTCAGCAGAGAAAACCCACATCATTAGTGCCATAGAAAACCAACTTGGAATGTGTGGATCCTCGACACCAAGGTAAGGTCTGGAAGAGAACCTTAAAATGTAATCTACCAAGAATTTTAGATTTGAGTAAGGCAGAAACAAATATACTCACTATATGCTTCTTTTTCCTGGCTGGAGACAGATCACTTCTTATTGTCAGGCAGCACATGAAAAGTGTTGTCATGTGGAATATTAATTCATATGCACAGGATTAATGATTTGATTTTCTTTTATTATCATTATTTATATACACTCGAAGAAGGGCACTCACTGGTCTTTCTTAATTTGGTCTTATTAGGCAAGCAGTTTTGCTGCGTTTAAAATTATTAATAATGAGTTGCCCTGTAAGATATTTTTTATTTTTTTCCCTTCTTAATTTTATATCTTTTCAATGTGTATTGAACTGGCAGTCTTTCTGAAGCTTGTTAAAAGTTTGTATGATATAATTTTCATACATGGGTAGAGCATTATAGACTTTAGTCTCCTTTACATGCTTTGTACATTGCTGCTTAGGCTTTTTAGATAAGCATTTAAAGGAACACATAAGATGGTGCCTACTGACTCTAGCCCCATAACTTAATTGAGATGCAGTTATAATATAATGGGGGCTGGAGTCAGCTGGGGAAAGGGGGTGCCTGGGAATAAAGGTCTTTAACGCTCTAGTTCCATTTGCTGGGACAACCCATCAGCGTTATGATTCTGCTTGCCTGGCCGGTATTGCATTGTAAAGTAAGGCCAGGCTCCACCGCAACAGTTTGGGGTTGTCTCCGGCCACTCTGTTTAGCCAGATTAGGGGATTGTAGTTTGTCATCAATGTGAATGATCAATTGTACAAATAAGGCTGTCATTTTTTTTTAGAGCCCACATCAGGGCCAGGCATTCTTTTTCTACGGTGGCATAGCTGACTTACCTGGGTAACAGTTTTCGGCTGAGTAATGCCATTGGATGCCCCACTCTGTAATCCCCGATCTGGCCAAAGATGGAGGCATCTATGAGAATGGCAAGTCGTTTGAAATGGTCAGGAGCAGTCAACACAGAAGCATTAGTTAGATCAGGGGTAGTCAACCTGGTCCCTACCGCCCACTAGTGGGCGGTTTGCGATTTCAGGTGGGCTGTGGTGGGTTCTGCAGAAAACGCCAAGTGGGCTTTGATGGCCATGGACCATGAAAAGGATCTCCCTTGCTGGCCCATGCAGAGCAAGCCTTGCTGTCACACACACACCTCACAGACACACACACAAAAAAAAGTGTAGAATAGAAAGAAAAAAATGTAAATAAATACCTACATTGTCAGATCGGAGGGTTAGCTTGGGCTCGTTTCCATCTTGCTCAGTTTCTGAGCTGCTAATTTTTTTTTTAAATGTGCCCTACTTGATTGCATCCGCAGCATGAGGGGGGTGGAGTCTTTCGCTGTGGAACCGCTTTGGAGTTAGTGTAGTTGGGGGAACTGTTGGGTAGAGGTCAAGGGTATTGAAGTATTGTGCTGTGTCGAGTTCTCTTGCAATCGTGATGCTTCTCAACTAGCCGAGCGGCTTCCTCCACTGTGAAGGTCTTTCAATCTTGGACTTCCGGAGTTGTGTGATTGAACAATTGCTCCAGGAGTATCAGTTGCAGGACATCTTCAATGGTCACTGCCTGGCATCCTTATCTAGTTCTGAATGCCCGCTGCATTCGAAAGCCCACTCGGCATAGGAGTCAATCCCTGCAGCCGTCGTCATTGATTGCTGCAGGGAATTTGCTGTGTCTATGCAGGGTCTCGCGGGGTCCCCCAGACACCTCAATGACTTACTCTTGCGCATGTGGGAGAGTACAGCAGTGACGTCTGATCTGAAGAGGACCCTGTAGGATCAAGGTGGCGGCACTTGTGAGGGACACATTTAGGTAAGTAAACTTACCTGTAATTCTCCCCCTCACCCATCAGGAGCATTGCAAATATGGCAAAGTCCCAACCCGGTGACAGCATCCCTATAGGTGAAGCAGGGACAATGCCAGAATAAAGAGAGCAGTTGAAGATATGAGTTAAGGACAACACAAAACAGGGGAAGAGAGATCTGATAAGGTTAGGTGGGGAAGGATCAAACTGACAAGTTGAGCATGGAAGGTACAATAGTTTTCAACAGTAATACTATAGGGTAGGTAGATAGGAATACCATAGAAAAATAAGAAATCAATTAATTTTAATAAGACAGGTATTTGTGAGTAGATATCCCAGAAATGCTACCTCTGCATAAGGCTTTGGCTGCGAGACTTGATAGCTATAGCAATAGAGCCCTGAGTGTAAACTTAGTGGTAATAATTTGCACAAGTTCCGCTTTTAATAGAAATTGTCATTTTTTTTTTTTCTTCTAATTGAGGCAGAAACATCTTCCTGATTGCCACTAATATCTATTAAAGGACCACTCTAGGCACCCAGACCACTTCAGCTTAATGAAGTGGTCTGGGTGCCAGGTCCTTCTAGGGTTAACCCACTTTTTTATAAACATAGCAGTTTCAGAGAAACTGCTATGTTTATTAATGGGTTAAGCCTTCCCCTATTTCCTCTAGTGGCTGTCTCATTGACAGCCGCTAGAGGCGCTTGCGTGCTTATCACAGTGAGAGCACGCCAGCGTCCATAGGAAAGCATTGATAATGCTTTCCTATGCGACCGGATGAATGCGCGCGCAGCTTTCAGCGACGAGGGGCGGAGGAGGAGGAGAGCTCCCGCCCAGCGCTGGAAAAAGGTAAGTTTTTTCCCCTTTCCCCCTTCCAGAGCCGGGCGGGAGGGGGTCCCTGAGGGTGGGGGCACCCTCAGGGCACTATAGTGCCAGGAAAACGAGTATGTTTTCCTGGCACTATAGTGGTCCTTTAAGAGAGGAGGGCAACACATTTGAAATTGCACTTACTACAAAATGCAGTGGTTTTTTTTGTTGTTTTTGTTTTTTTTTTCTTCATGACCGGTGTTTTAATAGGTTTGTCTACATCAGTCACAGGAAATACCATTTTTATTTTCATCTCTGGCAGCACAAAGCGAGAGAGAACTGAAAGTACAGAAAAACAAACCGTAAAAGGCCCCATTCTGTTTTATTAAAGTAATATATGCACTATGCTAGTAGCCTCCAACTGCACCTCAGCACACCAGGGTGATCTCAAAGGCTGCATTCAGGTTACCACAGCAGAGCCATGACAGCCACAGCCATTTTAAATTCAGCTGAGCTGAACTGATTTAAAGTCAATTGCAGACATACAGGCAGCTTTGGGTGCTGCACTCAACTGAATAGATTTATGTGTTAAGAGACTATAGGCCTGAGGGCTAGGAGAGTTTGAACAAAGGTGTAGCTATCCAGTATGCATGCCTTCTTATAGCTACAATTACCAGACTTTACTATTTACATGACGTCAAGTCATGATTTTATTAACGACACGGAGGCGAGTATTATGCTGCACTCTTTCTTTATTTCCCTCAGCAGCAAAGAAAAAAATCTTAATGATATGAACACAGGAAACCGTCATTAACACACATCTTCCATTGCAACCAACAGCCAATCAGGTTCCACTCTCCAGCTTACTAGGTGGTTTTCCCTGAACCATTTCCTCTTTCTTGCAATCCCGAACTTGTACCGCCATCCAAACGAAAAAGGAATTCCAATAAGGGAACAATGCCATCAGTGGATGAACTTCCAATTTAAGCTGTAAGAGAGAGTAGAATATGGTAATATCCAAGTATAAAACTGGATTTATGCATATCTTTAGGCAATATCTTCTGTAACTAGTATTTAGTCAACATGTATGAGTGAATAATCAAACCAATCAGTGAGCAAATCTGAACCAAAGAGACTTACCGTAAATAACTTACCTAGGTGAACCACCATCCAGGGAAGGGTGGGAGGGATAAAACTCGCCTCCGTGTCGATAATAAAATCATGACTTTACGTCATGTAAATAGTAAAATCTGGTAATTTTATTACGACACAGAGGCTCCTATTATGCTGGTTTAAAGCTGTGATATAACTGTTTCAGCAAAGTGTTCGATCGGTTTGAAGTAAAAATCACGAAAAGTGGATTCCGACGACCAGTTGGCAGCTTGTAAGATATCTTCTAGTCGACATCCTACCGCAGAGGCTTTAGAGACCATAGCTCCTCGAACAGACTGTGGAGAGAACACTGAAGTGTCAATGCCTGCCAATGTCATAATGTCATTTGACCCATGTGGCCAGGAAGGGAGAGGATACTGGAAGATGTGGTTTGCGGACAGAGATAAATAACTGAGGTCTCATAGGGTTCCGGAGCGGAGCCGTACGGAGTTTGTATTCCTGTAGGCATGCCACTGGGCACAATATAGGCTTCTGCGGAAAGCCCGGGTACAATACGGACTAAGACTTTTTTTTCGTCCTTTTTTGGTCCTTCTAGAGATATCGAAGAGAATGCCTTCCAGTGTAAAAGATCAAGCGTCTGTGTCCAAGGCTCGTACATCCGAGACTCTTTTGCATGAGATGAGACAGAAAAGCATGACTAGTTTTGCTGACAGTTGTTTGAGTAATAATGAAGAATTATCCGGCCATGACATTAGAAAACGGAGGACAAGGGAAACATCCCAAAATGTAGAGTAACGAGAGAGCAGTGGACGAGAAAAATGTACTCCGCATAGTAAGCAACAGACCATCGATGCCTTGATGCCTTGAAAGCGCCGAGCAGTAGAGGTTAACCGTGCGGTACGTTTTCTCTGCTTCAAAAAGGAGGTCAAAAATTGTAGGATGGCTGTCAAAGGAGCCGATAAGGGATCCAGGTTTCTTCCCAAGCACCAACCATTCCAAGCAGATTTATAAGCTTATCTCATGCTGGGTGCCCATGCATTCTCGAAGTCTGAGAGTTGATTGCGGAACACCTGCGACTGACCAAGGTCCCCTGAAATCAACCATGCCATAAGTCGGAGAAGGCCCTGGCGGATTAAGGGGTGAGATTGTCTGTCTGTCTGTCTGTCTGGATCCTGAAGAAGAGAATTGTACGATGTGAGAAGGCAGGCAAAATCTATCGCCATTTCCAATAGAGGAGGGAACCATGGTTGTGACAGCCATAGGGGAGTCACAATTACCAGCATGCCCTTTTGGCAACGCAGATGTAGAATGCAACGGGGAATCAGTGCAAATGGAGGGAATGCGTAATTCGTCTCCGTGGCACAATTTTGAAGGAAGTTTGAGGGAGTTGAGCGTTCCACCGAGAGGCAAAGAGGTCTATTCCCAGAGGTCCCCAGGTGTCCGTGATGTTCCTGAATGTCAAGGGGTCCAGGCGCCAATAGCTGAAGTCCTTGAGGTGTCTGGAGTGCCAATCCGCTGTGGTGTTGGATAGTCCGGGAAAATATTCCGCTGTCACAGAGATATTGTGCATAAGGCAAAATTGCGTGCCATGTTTGCCAGCACTTTAGATTTCGTGCCTCCCAGATGGTTCATGTATCTCACTGTGGACACGTTGTCCTTCTTCGATAGAATTGTGCATTGAGAGTGAGTCGGGGATAGGCTGCGTACTGCAAAGGACTTGGCTGAAAGCTCCAAGCAGTTGATATGCAGTGTCATTTCGAGTTCCGACCATCTGCCTCCCGTGGAGATAGCTCCACAGCGCGCACCCCAGCCGTGTAAGCTCACATCTGATTCTATGATCAGATCTGGGGTTGTTCTGAAGATAGCACCTCCATTCCATGTTTCCATGTGGTGGAGCCACCAGCGAAGTTCGGCTTTCGCCTCTTTGTCTAATATAACCATATCCCTGTATGATGTTCCGCCTCTGAGATGAGGCCTGTAGCCGTTGGAGAGCTCGGTAATGGAGCGGGCTTGGGAATATGGCCTGGATGGAAGCCGCCAGGAGTCCGGTGACTCGTGCCAGATGTTTGAGTGAGAATTGGGGAACGGCCAACATGCGTTTGATTTCTTTTTTGGTGTTCAGCAATTTTGACGCTGGGAGATGTAGCGTTTGTGAAGTTGAGTCGTTCAGTAGTCCTAAGAATTCGATATTTTGAGCTGTTGTCAAGATAGATTTGTTTTTTTTGTTTTTGTTTTTTCAGTTTATAAGGAAACCCAGGTTTTGCAATAGCGTCAGGGTCCATGTGAGATGTGCGTGGAGAAGGTCGGTAGACTGGGCTAGGAGGAGAATATCATCTAGGTAGATAAGCCGAACACTTCGTCTTCGAAGCAGAGCAATTACGTGTTTCATAACTTTTGTGAAACACCATGGGGCTGATGATAGTCCGAACGGGAGGCATATGAACCTCCATTTCCTTCCTTGCCACGTGAATTGGAGAAAATGTTGGTATCTGTCCGATATAGGGACCATGAGATAAGCGTCTTGAAAGTCTCTAGCTTGGCCAACCAGTCGTTGGGTTGTAGAAGATCGCGCGGGCAGTGTATGCCTTCCACTTTGAAATGGTAATAGGACACGTAAGCATTCAATTGTTTCAAATTTATGACTGGTCTCATTCCTCTGCCTTTCTTGGGTACCTGGAAGAGATTGCTGACATACCCAGGTGTATTGGTTGGGATCTCTGTGATGGCTTGTTTGCGCATTAATTCGTGACTTTCCTTGGATACAAGGGTAGCATGGTGTTGGGGAAAAAACAATCTCTCTGGGCGGGGAAAGTTGGGTCAGGTGTGCAATAACCTGTTACAACTTGCAGGACCCAAGCGTCTGAGTCTGCCCCCACAACCTGAAGGGAAGAGTAGACCCTTACCATAAGGTCGTCGTCCAGAAGGAGCTTCTCTGATGCCTCTAGCTCTAATTCCGTAAAATTAATAACAGTAACTTATATTAAAGCGGCACTATCATGCCGAATCCTGTTTTTTTTGTTTTGTTTTTTTAACCCCCCCTCCGGCCTCCACTATCTCTAAAGGACACCCTAGTCACCCCCAAATGCCCCTAAGCCCCCCACATTACCTATTTTTTTTATTCCTTATTTTCTGCCTCGATCTTTATTCAGGGCGCCGCCCTCTTTGTGTGGGTAGATGAAGTCCCTGTGGGACACGTCATCTGCCCACACTAGATAGCGCTGAGATTCCCGCATATGCCCAGTAAAACACCTGGACATGTGAATGGGAATTTCATCCATTCATTCATCAGACAGACGAATTAATGAATAGAAATGTCAGATGAACAAACTAACACTGTGTATCAGTGTAAGTTTGTTCGTTCAGTTTATTACAAGGAGGGAGCTACCGGCATGCAGTTCCCTCCTTGTAATATGTAAAGATAGAAGCGGCAGGGAGCAGTGCTCCCCACCACTTCATGAGCCCGCCAGGCCCCCCCCCACTCTATGGGGGTTGAAATCCATCCAATCACAGTGCTCTGTCATTTTACACAGCGTAGGAAAGTTCTTTGGAATTTTCCCACGCTGTGTAAAATGACAAAGAGCACTCGGATTGGCTTAAACTCACCAATCAGTGTTCTTAGCCTAATTGCAGGGCGTGGCAAGGCTTTATAAGCCTTCCCCTGCCCTGCGGAGCTCAGTCTGCGCGGAGCCCTCCATGGGTGAAAATTGATTAATTTTTTTGCGCTCTGGTTTTTTCTTTTTCGTCGTGTGTGTTTGTGTTTTTTTTTTTTATTTATTTTTTTGCGCTCGGGATTTTTATTTTATTTTAAGTTCAGTTATGATGGTTTTTTTTATTTGGCCTTTTTTGGGCCTGAAAAATGAAGATTTGAGAAAAAAGAAGAAAAAAGACTAGGTTAGTTATTTTATTCCCCCTTCACTATTTTTTTTAGGGTGAGGTGGGTAGGTAGGGACTTTTTATTTGGGTGGGAGGGGGGTAACTAGGGGCTTGGGGACCCCTAGTCACCTGGGGGCAGGGTGAAATTGACAGGGGCCCCCACCCGCCGCCGGAGGACAGTAGGTTTCCCCCCATTATCTTTATGGCCCCAACCCGCCCAGGGGTGGGGACGGGAGGGTGGACAGTAGGTGTCCCCCCCTCATTATCATTATGGCCGCCGCCCGAGTGGTGGGGGCGGGGGGTTCTAGCAGTAGGTCTCCCCATTATCATTATGACCCCCACCCACCGTTTAGGGGTGGGGGTTTACTTTAGGGCCCCCACCCGTCGTTTAGGGGTGGGGGCCAATAGTTTTTTTGTTGTTTTTTTAGAGTGAGCAGCCACAGGCTGCTCACTGCTTACTCGACATGCCCCTACTCGCAGTATAGCGAGTAGGGGCCGCATTTACTAATACTAAGTAAACTTACTTAGTATTAGTAAATGTGGCTGAAAGACCAATTTAGGTGGAAGACAGGAAGAAAAGAAGAACAGATCATGAGAGAGGGGGAGAAGAGGAAGAGATTGAGGAAAGGTAAATTTAGCATGACAGTGCCTCTTTAAATTAGCTTGATGAAAGTAAATTAAAGAAATTAAGTTAGATTTAGGGGTACTTTATCGTTTAGGGGTGGGGGCCAATAGTTTTTTTGTTGTTTTTTTAGAGTGAGCAGCCACAGGCTGCTCACTGCTTACTCGACATGCCCCTACTCGCAGTATAGCGAGTAGGGGCCGCATTTACTAATACTAAGTAAACTTACTTAGTATTAGTAAATGTGGCTGAAAGACCAATTTAGGTGGAAGACAGGAAGAAAAGAAGAACAGATCATGAGAGAGGGGGAGAAGAGGAAGAGATTGAGGAAAGGTAAATTTAGCATGACAGTGCCTCTTTAAATTAGCTTGATGAAAGTAAATTAAAGAAATTAAGTTAGATATAATAATAATCAGCCCTTAGATATATATAATTTTTTTAAATTAAATTAAAATGATTTTTTTTAAAAAATCTCCTAAACGGAAGAGAATTGAGTGGCAAGACTGCAGGGGCATTAAGCCAGGGCTCAAGAAATCCCAGGCGCCAGGTCATCATGGCAATCTGGAAATCTGTCCTGGCGCCTGGAATTTGTGAGCCTGTTCAGCCCCTGAGGTGACTGGCTGCCCGAGATTGGTCTGTGTCTGTCAGTGAGTGTGTGTGTTTAGGTGCCCTGCCCCCTTCCAATTACATGATAAAGGTGTTTTTACTCCGTTTCCCACGCTCTGCTGGTCATGCTGCAGCTGGCCCCACCTCCATGGCTGAGATCTTGATGATATCAGGGAATCCAGTGCTTCGCCAAAGAAAAACATTGCTTAAAGAGACTTATCGCACGTGCGCGGCAACATGCAATGATGCACAATCAACTTCTCCTCGCAGAGATGTATTAAAATCAATGCATCCCTATGGGAAGCATCAATGAAGGTGTTGTACACTGTGCAGACAGCAATGTAAGCACTGCCTTTAGTCTGAAAAGCCAGTGTTTACATTGAAAAGCATGCAGGGACAGTATAGACTTCAGAACAACTACATTAAGCTGTAGTGCTTCTCGTGACTATAGTGTCCCTTTTAAGAATTATATTTTTAACGTTGAAAAATCTGTTTTGTTACTTTTTTTTAGTTTAGTAAGAAATTTGTCAAGCCCCGCTTTAAGCTGAAGTGGTTATAGTGCACAGACTGACCAGCAGGTTTTTAATCCTAATGTTTGAAGCTGTGAACATAAACAAATGTTTTGCTCTTGTTTTAGTTGTTATGGATTCCAATCTAGATGATGACATTTGTATTTTGACCCACGAGAAAGCTGACTGCATACCGAGAAAAGATCAACAGACCCCATTTTCATCATCTTCTGGGGAAGCATCTGTTGCCTCACACTTTGCCCTCGTCACTGCTTATGAAGACATCAAGAAGCGACTGAAGGACACTGAAAAGGAAAATAATTATTTGAAGAAAAGATTAAGATTACTTGAAGAAAAGGTACAGCGCAAATATTTATTCATACAGTTGGTAATATGTCATCATTTTATTTACTGTATATCTATGTATAGTTGTTTAAGATACCCCTCTCACACTTTGTGTTTCTTATTGCATGACTTACATTTTGCTCAAAAGCATATATCCTCTTACAAAGGTGCTCATGAAAACCATTCTAAAGAATATCTTTCTAGATCTTTTTAGCTGTCATTTTAATTACCATATCATATGAATGGCTAGTCGACAACTGACTGAGCTATTTCTTTTTTTACTCCTTGATAACTTGCAAGCTGGCTTCTGTCCTCAATATACCACTGAAACCGCACTCACCAAAGTAAAACTCCTTAAATTCATATTAAAAAGTCACATTTCGTTGATGATGCTTGTTGAGCTCTTATACCAGCTTCTCGGACCTCTGCTACACAGCAGTTTTGGGTCAATATAAAGTTGTGTTTTTTTTTGTTTTTTTTTGACATTCAAATCTTTATTTCATTTCCAAGTTTTGTTTTTTCACAGACATATAAACAAACAAACCACAGTGCGGTATTAGTAGCCTACATGCCTCCCGTTGTCTTATAATAATGTTGTATCACCCCGCCCCCTCCCACCTGCTTTTAGAACTGGCTGTATCCCCTGGTTCATGTTGTGCCCCGTGTCTACGTAGATGGTATGCTCCCTCCCTCATTCGTGTACTACGACCCCCTCCTGCTACCGTGGCATCTGTACTACTTCTAGTCTGCCATCCACCTCGCCTGGTTGGATAGCAACTGTCTAGTGACTATTGTAAGTGAGCCAGTCTTGTGTGCTACCCTTTATAATGAGCCGCCTGACCCTGCTCATCGCTTGCTGTCCTGACACGTGTGTTTCTATTACAGATCGCTGACACTTGGCTCAACAGTTAGTGGTAAAGATCTTGGCTACGGGTGGTTTCACCATGGCAAGTAGTTAGCCCGCCGGTGTAGGGCGATCCATTTATCGCATCTAGACTGGTGTGCCACGTATGTGCGTGGGTCCAGTCGAGTTGCCTAAGGTGACGCTAATCGAGATTTTCAGGAATACCGTGGATCCCTTGGTCATGTCTGTCACTGTCCCTGCTGTTTGCATATCCCTCCTTAAGCATCGTAGTTGTCCCCTATGTGTACTGATCTTCGAGTCGTGTCTTCCCAATGCCCCTCCGCTGCGTGTGTCATGCAGTCCGATATCCTCTGTTAGGCGGGGATCTCTCCCCCACCGGCGTATTGCCGTGATGCTATAGCCGACCCTTTCTTCTATTCGCATCATGTCCCTTGTCTTTCGCCCCCATGGTCATAAACATTGGGTGCAGCTCCCTAACCCGCCTTTCCTTCCCCTTCTCCCATCCTGTCCCCCCTTCCGGTCTCTGGGTGGGAATCCCCATATCTCTCCGCTGTGCGTTCGCTCACACTGTCCATCTGGCGATGGTTAATCTGGGTATATGTGTTAGGTATGGTGTATCGAACTGTGTGGATGAGTAGTCTGTCTCCCGACTCAGGTTCCCCTCGTCGTTTAGAGTGTCTGATAGTGTGTGCCGCTTATCTTGTCCGTCAGTGATTTTGAGTGTGTTGCCCGTCGTGTATGGGGATTGAGTCTCCGGTGGAAGTTACCGGTGTATTCCGGATTTCGTTGTTGCGGCAGTCTGAAGGGGTCGCCCGCTCCGCGGCACCCCCCCCCTCGCGCTCCGCGGCACCCCCCCCCTCGCGCTCCGCGGCACCCCCCCCTCGCGCTCCGTCTCGCACCGCCCTCTTGGTCACGTACTCCATCCACGGGAACCAGGTTGTAGCGCATTGCTCCGTTCGTCCCTGCAGGGAGGCCGTCATCAGCTCCACCCTATCCACCCATTGTTGAAAGGTGGGTACCGTGCGGCTTTTCCAGAAAACGGTATGAGCGTTTTCGCCACTGTAAGCAAGTGGATGGTCAGCCACTTTTTGTATTTCTGCAACGGTATCGGCGTGTGGTTGAGCAACATTGTCAGGGGCTGCAGTGGTAGGTTTGCATCAGCAATTTCCCTAATTGCTTGATGGACTTGTTGCCAGAATGGTTCGATTCGCGGGCACGACCACCAAATGTGTAGCCTCGTGCTCGGTTCCGCACCACATCGCCAGCACTCGCCGGGTATTGACTCGTGGACATGGCGAAGGATATCTGGGGTCCTGTACCAGCAAGTCAGAACTTTATAGTTACATTCCTGGTATTTGGAACAGATGCTCCCCTTGTGTGCCAGCTGGTAAATCTTGTCCCATTCGAAATCCGTGAGTGTCAGGCCCTCGCCCTCTTACTGCTGTAATAAGGTGTACAGTGCAGACACACCATGTTCTAAGTGCTGCCTATCCGCGCATATGCTTTCCATAGGTAGCATCGGTCGGTGTATTTGGTTCCGACCCAGTAGAGAGTTGTAATACACTCTTATTTGATGGTAGGGGAATTCATCCAATCTCGTTGCTCTGCTGTCCGGAATCAGGTCCTCCACAGGTTTGAGTGTTAAGTCATTGCACCATTGCCGCAGGTAGGTCCAGTCCGACACTGGGAAGTGTTTTAGGGCAGCTGGCGCTAGGCCGCCCGCCAGTCTTGGGTTGTTGGTTATGGGATGAAGCGGGTTCTGCGTTGTGGTAAGTTGTTTAGTGTATCTGATCGCACACCAAACCCGCAGTGTGGAGTCAATCATCGGGTTCCCTGTGCGCAGGTCGCCCAGCACTGACCCTCCCAGCCACAGCTGGGCGGGAATCTGGCCCTGTGCCTGTTGCGTCTCCATCTCGATCCATTGTTTGGTGGTCGGCCTTGCGTGCCAATCCACCAGGCGGCACAGATGCGTCGCCTAGTAGTAGGCGAGAACCGACGGCAACCCCGTCCAACAAGCGTTTTTCGACCTCTCCAAGATCGTCCTGCGTATTCGTGCCGGTCGATGGTTCCAGACGAATTGTCTTCTAACGGTTGCTAATGTTTGGAACAAGTACCGAGGAATGGTTGAAGGCAACGTCTGAAATAGATGGAGAATTCGTGGCATAACATTCATCTTTAGAGCATTAATCTGCCCAAACCAGGATATGTACTGGGCCGTCCATTTTTTAAGGTCGTTTTGTATGGTCATGAGGAGCGGTGTAAAGTTTAGTGGGTACACGTGCTTGAGCTCCTGTGGGAGCCAGATTCCCAAGTACCGAAGTTTCGTCGGACAGACTCTGAAAGCAAAGTGCGTTCGCAGGAGCTGCATCATGCCGGCATCGCGACTAAGCGGCATCACTTCGGATTTGTCCAAGTTGAGAGCAAGATTGGATATGTCTGAGTACTGCCTGAACGCCTCCAGGAGGTTTGGGATTGAAATCCGAGGCTGGTCTAAGAAAAAGAGCATATCGTCCGCATAGGCCGCTACCCGGTGTTCTCCCCGGCCCATCCGGAGCCCAGTGATACCTCCGTTCCATCTGAAATGGTTCTAGAGTGAGGGCAAACAGGAGGGGGGACAGGGGGCAGCCCTGTCTCGTGCCGTTGCAGATCCTGATCGGCTCCGTCAGTGCGCCATTAACTCTTATCCGTGCCGTTGGTGTGGAGTATAGGGCCAACACCCAGGTTCGCATATTCTGTCCGAATCCCATGTGCCGTAACGATGCCATGAGAAACCTCCAGTCCACGCAGTCAAACGTTTTTTCAGCGTCCGTGGAGAGAAGCACCAGCTCCCGCTTGCTCACTGTCGCCGCGTGGATCACATTAAGGGCTCGGATCGTATTGTCCCGGGCCTCTCTCCGGGAATAAAGCCAACTTGGTCTGGATGAATGCGCTCGGGGGCCACCCGTGCCACTCTGAGTGCTAAGGCCTTTGCAAAAACCTTCAGGTCAGTGTTCAATAACGAGATCGGCCTGTAGCTCGCACAGTTAGTGTGATCTTTACCCTCTTTCGGGATAATGGCCACGGTCGCTCTCAATGTGTCCGTGGGGAACTGTCCTCCCGTTTGCAGTGAGTTGAGGCCCTCCAGGAGCTTCGGTATTAGGATCTCCTGAAAGGCTCGTAAATACGTAACCGGCAGACCATCAGGGCCCGGTGCCCTGTGAGTTTTTGCCACTTTCAGGGCCCCCGCCAGCTCCTCAAGTGTCAGGGGTTGGTCCAGTTCGGCTTCTTGCTCCGGAGTAAGCTTGCAGGTCACATGTCTGTCCAGGTAGGTGTCCATTTGCTCCCGGTGGTGTCACGTCTCCGAGGCGTGTCTGGTCATATAGGGCAGCATAATACTTGTGGAATGCGTCTAGGATGCCATCTGGGAGACGCATGACATTTTGCCCCTGCGGTCTAATCTTATGGATGTGTTGCACCCTCCGCTTCTCTTTGAGCATTTTCGCGAGCACACTGCCACATTTATTCGAGTGCTCATAAAAGAACCTGGCTGTTTTGCGCTCCGTTTGGAGTAACCCCTGGGAGAGTATGGTGCGAAGCTCCCTGCGCGCCTCCATGAGGCGGAAGTAGGTCACGTCGTCCAGCGTGCGTTTGTGCTCCTGTTCCAGTTCCGCGACTCGTCCCGTTAAGCGACTTGTACGAGCAACTCGGTCCTTTTTGCGCTTAGTGCTAATGGCTATGAGGTGTCCTCATACTACACACTTATGCGCCTCCCAGAGCGTGAGTGGTGTTATATCCAGTGTTGCATTCGTTGTGAAGTAGTTGGTCAGGGCGTTCATCACCGTTGTAATGAGTTCGGGGTCATCCAGGAGAGTCTTGTTTAGTTTCCACTGACAGTCTTTAGGTTTGTAGAGGGGAGAGCTTGTCTGCGCTATCATCGGTGCGTGATCACAATGATCCATGATCCCTATCTCTGAGCTTTGCAGCAGTGTCAGATATACTTGTGCGAGGAATATGTAATCTATTCGGTTGTAATGTGCGTGAACGGTCGAGTAATAGGTGTAATCCCTATCTTCAGGATGTCCCGCCCTCCAACAGTCCACCAGTCCCAGCTTGAGAAGGGAACGCAGCGCCGCCCTCAAACAGTGTGTCGGGACCGCGCTGGTTCCCCTGGAGGTATCCAGCGGCAGATTCAGGTCTCCCGCTACCACCAGCAGTCCCTCCCTAAAGTTCTCCAGTTTGGACAGCGTGTTGGCAAGGAAGGTGTGTTGTCTTCTGTTGGGGCTATACAGGCAGGCAAAAGTATAGGTGTGATCTGCAATGGAGCCCTTGAGAAACAGGTATCGTCCATTGGCATCTGCCTGGATCGCCGTGCAGTTGAACTGCGTCGTGTGCGCGAACAAAATCGCCACTCCCGCCTTCTTTGCCTCAGGGTGGTTGGCGTAGTACCCCACCGGGAAGTGACTGTTTTCGAGTTTCGGGGCGTCCCTGTGTCGGAAATGCGTCTCCTGCAGTAACACAACGGACGCTCGTGCGGTCCACAACCTCCTCGTTAACTGGGAGCGCCATTCCGGGATGTTAAGGTCTCGCACATTGTAGGACCAGTACGTCATCTGCGCTGGGGTGTACCCCATGCCAACTCTCCACTCCCCCAGGGGGGATCACCGCCCGCCGCGGAACACGCACGACCCAGGAAGAAGGGTGAGAGAGAGATAGCGAGCGAGAGAGATGAAAGAGGGGGGGGGGGATTTTTTGTTTTTGTTTTTTTTATTTTTGGTCCGGTAGTGGTGTGACTGTAACCCTATACCAGTCCAGTCGACTAGTGGCGGAGCGTTCTGTCCGTCCCTATGAGCCCTGGTAATATGTACACTAGGGGTCTGTCACAGTGGGGTTCGTGGTGCCACTATGTGCGCGGTACCGTTTGTGTGGTGTTGGGGTTTGTTCTCCTCTCGCCCCGTCGGCACCCAACCTGCCGGGTGCCTGTTATGTCTGCTCCGTAGTTGGGTGGTCCCCGGGTCCCATCCAGCGCCCCTCGGTCCCTTGTCCCCCACTCAAAACCCTAATTGTAGGCCATTTTTCTCCGTACTGCCCTCGGTGCCGCCTTACCCTCGCCCTGTTGTGTCCCCCTCTGGGCCTACTACCCCCCTCCCTCATCAAACCCCTTTGATGGTTCACTAGGGGCCCACGATCAGACCGCAAGCCCCCCCACGGCCGGCGACTGAACCCTACCGACCCTCCCCAGCCTAGCTCTCGGCCAACCCGCCTGGGCCGTGGAGGAGGCACCAGGCCTTCACTACGTCTGCTCACGGTGCCCGACCCGCCGGTCAACCTCCGGTCCAGGCCCCGGAGGGGTACGTGGCATTTGCGGCTGGGGGGGCACCTAGGCCTCGCACCTAAGAGATAAGAGTCCTTTCAGTCTAGGCCCCCAGCCGGGCGCCTCTCCATCGTGGAGCAGTCTCACACGGGCAGTGTCCTCTAGCCCAGATCCCCGGCTTCCCGCCAAAACCCCCCAGGATGCCGCCATGCGTGTCCTGGCCCTGGCCCTCCCCCCCCAACCTAGCTGAATATAAAGTTTTGGTTTTTTTTTGTACCTTCCTTTTAGTCTTTAATTTTCAACTGGTTTTTCTTCACTTCTATCACTTGGAGTATATCAGAATGACATTTTCTGAACTTTTTTTCCCCTAGTATCTACACATCAGATCTAAGTAGATGAAAGAAATACTTGGTTTCAGAAAGAAAAGTTTTTATTGGGCAGAATGTACACTCAAATCAAGTATAAGTCAATGGTTTTGAATTGTGTATTGTGTATTTTATTGGTCTTTAACTCCTTAAAAGCCTGCATGTTGCAGTTTGCTGTGATCACAATCTGGTCCGTAAAGTCCAATTGCCAATATATTAGTTTGTATTTAAAGTTAATGAAATCAGGGGACTGCACTCACCTAAACATGCATAAATGGGATGCTGCTGGAGCCAATTCATACAATACACAAGATCTAGCGCACTCACATAATTTGCACTGGATCGTGTGTGTTGTATTTAAAATTGAGGTGTTAATGTGTGCTTGCATTTCTCTTTCAAACTAGGACCCAGTTGGTTTTCATGGTCCACATTGATTAGCTCAGATAAAAACATTTCCAGCTAGATCCGTGGAGGGAGTATAGGCACATTTTGGAATGTGGGTTACATTTACAGGAAAGTTTGGGACTAGAAAAATCCAAGGAGTGTTATGGGAGTCAGTTTAGCTGCAGTGTGACACAAAGAGGTTTCTTATTCACGCCTACATTATATATATTATATTATATATTATATTATTAATTAATATTATATTATATTCACTTCATCTGCCAGGAGCCTTGGCCACTGCAAGAGTACAGCACAGTCTATGCAAGACTGTTAAATCCTACATAGACACTTTTGAGATGGAGATGCATGTTTCCCACAGCTGTAACTAGTGACAGCTCTGGGAATTGACCAAAATTCACTGCAAAGGCTCCACCTTGTTAAAGGGACACTGTAGGCACCCAGACCACTTCAGGTCATTGAAGTTGTCTGGGTGCAGTGTCCCTTTTGCACCTAGTGCTGCAATGTTAAACATGTTTACATTGCAGCACTAAGTCTGCCCTCAGTGGCTGTCTACTAGAAGGCTTCCGGAATTGTAAGAGACTTTTGGTCCCTTATGTGACGCTGGAAGCCCTTGATTCAATGCTTTCCTATGGGGAGGTCTAATGCGTGTGCGGCATTTGCCGCGCATGCCCATTAAACTCTGCTCATCGCGGGATTTAGGAGGGGGAGGAGCGTCGACCCAGTGCAGGGTGACATCGGCTTTGGGATAAGGTAAACAAATAAAAAAAGGGGTTTTAACCCTTTATTTATCGGGGGGGGGGGGAGGCAGAGAGGCAGAGGGATCGGTAGTGCCAGGAAAACAGCTTTGTATTCCTGGCAGTATGGTTTCCCTTTAAATTTAGTCTTGTCGATAAGGCACCGTAGTCGTTAATTTGTCTAACAATATCTTGAAACTCCTGCAGTTCAGTTTCCTATTCAAACTTTTTATGATGCTCTTGTGTGTAGAAGAGAGGTATGCTAAATAGAAAAGCCAATTGAAACTACAATTACTCGGCGATAGTTCTAACACTAGTTAATTGTAAGGCTGATCGGTTTTCTGTCTAAGTTAAGGCTATCACTTTCTGTTGTCGGACCAATTTTAGCTTTGTGGAAAGCATGCGGAAGAAGCAAGCACAGTAGGTCATGAGCAAGAACACGGAGGATGGGTTGGCGGAAAACAAGTTAACAAAGCTTACAGCGCCTTTCGTGAAGTCTGCATTGAGCGGGACAAACTGAAAAACAAACTGAACCTATCCGTATGTAGTACACTGTTTAAAATGTTCTCAATCTATAATCTGTTTGTTTGTAGCTTTGGAAACACAGACATATGCTCTTACATGGTATCCTTCTGATATGGTATAGGCTGTCTGTGAAAACTCCTTTACAACCACCACCTAAATTCCTGTTTAAATTATGTTTTTGCAAGCATTATATAATTTTATAAAAGGTAGATTTTAATATAAAATGTTTGATTGTTATGAGCCCTTATCAGCCCATAATATAGTGCAGGGAATATTGTTAAAAAATACAGCGTGGGTCTTAATTTGGTGATATGACTTACTAAACCGTTTTTACTGGGGTTTTTTTTTTTTTTTTGGGTGGCTGGGTACAGGAGCAAGAAAAACTTGAATCTACAAAAACTCTGAATGAGCAGCTACAAGCAAAAGAAGTTGAGTTGTTGCAAGTGAAGTCTGAATTGGAAACACATCAAGGTAAGTGTGTAATCCTAAGCACAGGTAGCCTTCTGGAGGACCACACTAAGACTCTATCCTGCACACTATCATTTAATTATAACTTAATCACCCTGTAAATTTGCTTTATTTTATACGATCTTGGTGTATTGCATATTTTCTTACATTTATGTCTTGTATGTACTGCTAAAGTGTAGTCTTATTAGCCCTGTATGTAATTGTTTAATTCACATATATGCATATCTCTATTTCCTCTCTGATTTCTGCCCTCTGACCCCGCCCTTCTTTCATTGATATCAACTCAAATGTTTTTGTTTGAATAACCATCCCCTCACCTCTGTGCTTAGATGCATATCACCCTCCCTCAGCTTTATTGCAGGCCTATCTGACCCTCACACATCTTTCTTCCACAGCTTGATTTCCAAACTTTCCAGCCCTATTACTGCTGCAAGAAAGTCTGATCCCCACCTCACCCCAAGCTCATTATTACATTTATAGATAGTCTGTCACACCCACATTTTAGATAAGCAGAAACACACTGTACACACTGCCTCTTAGTAAACTCCTGCACTTTCCTAACTCCTAAAACTTAATCTTTACACTTCCTACTCCTGGTTTTGATATTCCAATTTATTTACTTATTCTCCAAATTGACTTTTTCCAAGTTTAGCAATGCTCTGTCTTCTCCTCCTTGTCTTCATTTCCTCCTTCTCCCTCAGTATCTAAATCTCTCCTTACAACCACATTTCCCCTCTCTGCTAGAATCCCCCCTTCTCTCAACTCATGCCCTGTACTCATTTTTCTGCTCCCTCTCTCCTATCCATAATCAATATTATCCTAGACCCCATGCACATAAAACCCACTCCCACCTCCTGTCACTATCTCTCCTCCTTCTTCTAGAAGCTGGTGATGTCTCTCTCAACCCAGGACCCTTCACCCCCTCTGCACACACTAAGACAACCAGAAACCACACAAACCTTATCACAATACCCTGCCCTTTACCCTCATTTACCAACATTCAGTGTGAACTGTGGAACGCCCGCTTGCTGTCTGCAGCAATCTGAAATCAACAGCCATACATGACCTTTTCATCTCAAACTCCTTCACACTACTAGCACTCACAGATACCTGGCTTTCCCCCTCTGATAGTGCTACTACTGCCTTTTTATGTTTTGGTGGGCTACAATTCTCCCCCACTCCCAGACCCAACAACTGTAAAGGAGGTGGTGTAGGCATCCTTCTCTCCCCTCAATGTACCTTTCAACCAATCTCCCCTGCCCTATCCTTTACTTCATTTGTTCACACTGTCCACCTTTTTAAATCCACTTCTTTAAGAATTGCTATCATCTAGCGCCCCCCCTGGTCATCCTAGGCTATTTATTGAGCACTTTTCTTCCTGGCTACCTCACTTCCTCTCCTCTAGCACTCCTTCCCTTATACTTGGTGATTTCAATATCCCAATCAATAACCCCAACTGCACTGATGCATCTCGTCTGCTCTCTGTAACCTCCTCCTTTGGCCTCACACAATGGTTCAATTCATACAGCGGGAAACACTCTTGATCTCGCCTTCACCAACCTTTGTACTGCCTCTAATCTCTGCGATATTCCTTTTCCTCTATCTGATCACCATCTGCTGACTTTTGACATCAGCACACCCAGGGCCCAACTGACACCACTTCTCCACTAACCTCCAAACTCTCCTTTTACCTATCTCAAACCTCACCTTCCCTAGCTCTGCAATCTCCTTCTACCATTCCACCCTCTCCTCTCAACTAGACATCATGGCACCTTCTACACTTAAAAGCAGCAAGCGCCCCCAACTAAAACCTTGGCACACCAAACTGACTCGATACCACCAAAAATGCTCCAGAAATGCTGAACGCTGCTGGAGAAAGCCTCACTCCACATCTGACTTTCTCCACTATATATCTATGCTGCTTTCTTAGAGCTTGGCTCTTTTCTCTGCAAAAGTAAATGACTTAAACACCCTTATAACCACTGTCTCCTGCCAACCCAAACGACTATTTCATACTTTTAACTCTCTTCTTTGCCCTGTTGCTCCTCCTCCTCCTACCGACTTAACACGCCACAAACTTTGCAACTTACTTCACTGACAAGATCTCTACAATCGGGGAAGAGATCTCTCATCTCTCTCCTTCCCCTTACAATATTTCCTCCAACCTCACTCCCTCTGCTGTTCTATGGTCATTCGCACCCGCTATGGTGGAAGAGGTTTCTGATCTGCTCCAGTCCTCCCGCCCCACCACCTGTTGCCTCGAACCTATTCCCTCACATCTCATGTCTCCTCTTGCTTTGTCTCTCACTAAAATTCTCAATCTCTCCCTCTCCTCTGGCATATTTTCATTACATTTCAAACATGTGCAACTGTAACCCCGATTCTTAAAAAGCCCAACCTTGACCCTAACTCCCTGTCAACTACCGCCCTATCTCACTACTGCCTTTTGTGTCCAAGATCCTTGAAAGTCTTGTGTATGTGAGATTGACAGACTTCTTCAAGTCCAATTCTCTGTTCGACCCACTTCAGTCTGGTTTCCGTTCTCAGCTCTCTGTGGAAACGACTCTGACCAAAGTATCAAACTATCTACTCGCTGCAAAATCTCATGGTCCCTACTCTATCCCAATTCTCCTTGACCATTGCGCTGCTTTTGATACTGTTGATCATAAACGTCTTCTCATCCTCTGTAATCTCGATCTACGAGATGTTGCTCCTCCTACCTCACCCTGCACTCTTATAGTGTCTCTTTCTCTGGCTCTGCCTCTTCCCAACCTCTTTGTTGGTGTCCCCCAAGGTTCAGTCCTTGGTCCCCTACTGTTCTCGATCTGTACTGTCTCTCTTGGTAAACTCATCAGCTCCTTTGGCTTCCAATATCACTTCTTTGCGGATGACACGCAAATCTATCTGTCCTCCCTTGATCTGTTCCAGCTCCTGTTGACTAGTGTCTCTGACTACCTCTCTGCTATTTCTAACTGGACGGCTGCTCACTTTAAGCTCAACTTGTCCAAAACAGAACTTCTTGTCTTTCCTCCCTCAAGTGTTGCTACCCCTATTTCTGTCTTCCTCCACGTTAATGGTGCTGCCATCAGCTCCACCACGCAGGCTCGCTGCCTAGGTGTTCTTTGACTCTGACCTCTCCTTCACCCCTCATGTCCAGTCGATCGCCAAATCCTGCCGCTTCCATATTAAAAACATTCCACGCATCCACCCCTACTTAACGCCAGATGCAGCTAAGGTGCTGGTCCACGCCACTGTCCTCTCTCACCTTGACTTCCGCAATCCGCTTGTTAGTGGTCTTACATGTTTCCAACTTGCCCTACTGCAGTCTATAATGAATGAGACGGCGAGGCTCATCTTCCTGTCCGCCTGCACCTCCCACGCCTCACCCCTCTGTCAGTCCCTGCATTGGCTTCACGTAAGATATAGGGCTCTGGTTCTTGCTTTCAAATCTCTACATTATGCTGCTCTCACCTATCTATCCTCCCTAATACACAAGTATGTCCCGCCTAGGCCCCTACGCTCTGCCGAAGATCTGCATCTATCCTCTATTCGTACTCCCACCTCTCCTTCAAGACGTCTCTAGGACTTCCTGTGGAACTCCCTTTCCTTTTCCGTTAGATGCTCACCTAGTCTCCACTCCTTCAAAAAGTCATCAAAACTTACTTTTTCACAAAAGCATATCAATTAAACTGTTAATGGCTCCAAAACCCCACACTAAGTCTTCGTTGCATACTATTCTACAAATCTTTTTCCCTAATACTTCCTTTACCTTTTATGTCACTTTAGCCTACTCCCTCTAGCATGCAAGCTCATTGAGCAGGGCCCTTAACACCTCTGTTTCTGTGCATCAAACTTGTCTGATTACAATTACATGTTTGTTAGTCCACACATTATAAAGCGCTACGAAATTTGTTGGCGCTAAATAAATATAGTAGTAGTAATTCCTCAAAAACTGCATTGTTTGACATTGCAGGACTAAGGGGGACAGGGACTGGTAGACAGCCACTAGAGGTAGAGTTAACCCTGAAAAGTAAATATTGCAGTTTATCAAAAATAAATTGCAGGGTCAAGGGGCCTAGGACACTGCGCCCAGACTGCTTCAATTAGATGAAGTGGTCTGGGTGCCTATAGTGTCCCTTTAACCCAAGAGATAGCAGCAAACTTAGTCCAGAAAACAGAGGCTCCCTGTTCAGAATCTTCTTATTCTATCTGATTTTATACCACAAACTGCTGTGGTGTGTTACCAAAACTCTCTAAATTATGTACGCATACCTATATAAACTCTGGTCCGTCTACTTTAACAAATATTTATTCAGAGACAAAACAGCAACAACATACAAATAATGACACACAATCTAACTAACATAAACGATAACCACCACCACAATCTAACGAACTGACAATAACAACTAAAGCTTATAAAGTCATCAGATCCCACAGTGCACCACAATAAAAATTAGCCCATACCTGCTCACATGTCTGCTCATTAGCACAGCCAAGAAGGAACATGGAGGAATAGAGACAGGGGGAAGTGGTGATCTTTCATGACTTGTAAAGGTATTGAATGGCCTAAATACCATTTCAAATGGTAAAACTTATCCCCCCTGTAAGAAAGGCATACATGAGCATTTGTGTATTCAGTGTCAATATCTCTAATTTCATTCATGAGCTTGGTCTCATTACTCCTGGTCACCATAATAGTTTGACAGAATGTCACCACAACTGCTACCAACTGTGGTTAATGGGATATGTATTTATACTTTGGAAGAACAGGATGACTGGAACTGCTGAATATACTGCTATCAGAGTAAACTATCAGTTTCTTCTTTATAGAAGAAATTATATCCTCTGCAAAATTCCAGTGTGTCACATTTGTATAACAAGTAAAAATAAAAAGTTGTGAAACCTCAGTACATTCTTAGAGGAATTTTATCGTTTACATTTTTATTTATATATATATTATATTATTATTTTTTTTTTTTTTTCAGTGATGCAAAGCTTAAGCAAAACACCTAGTGACTGGGAAATAGAAAAACTGAACAGAGAGTTGAAAATCCGGTCAGTGGAGCAAGAACTTAAATTGCTTCAGGAAGAATGCAGAAACCTCCAAGCAGAACTTCAAAGGACAAAGGTAATTGCCCGTGTTAAGATATATGCAGTAAAAACATGATATGCATAAAATCATTCATTTTTGTTTGCTAAATTACACAAATGGGTTCAATTGAAAATATTAGTAATTCCAAAGTGGGAGAGTGATAGGGCTATGTTAAAGTGACACAGTTAAAATGGCCCTGTACATTTAACAAAATAAATAAATAATAATAATAATAATAAAAAAAAAATATATATATATATATATATATATATATATATATATATATATATATATATATATATATATATATATATATATATATATATATATAATAATATAAAATGTATTTTTTGCAGTATTTCCTACGGACTAAAACGTTCTTTCAAACCCCTGATAACTATTTGATTTGCCAGATCAACTGTGCACGAATAATTTATTTTGCTGATGGGCAGCACATGAATAGTGCTGCTGAGTAGTATGTAGCAATCAAATGCTGCATGAACCAGGTCTCTACATTGGATTCTCTTCTATTACGTCTTTCTCCCATCTTTTCTTTCTGCAGTTTATGAATTCCACTTAATGGAAGACAATGTTTTTACTGTGCCGCACAAGAGCATTCCCAAGTGATATTATTATTATTATTATTATTTATATAGCGCCAGCAAATTCCGTAGCGCTGTACAGTATATATATTTCTCTCTCTCCAGAAAACCATTTTGCTTATGTCAATTCTAATTTCTGATAAATTGTACAGGGAGCCATTCATGATGTTTGCAACAAAGTACAATTTACAAGTTACAGAATAACTGCAAGCTTTCTTCTGCAGAGTAAAGGGTAAAATTTGCTTTGAGCTCTGTAATGATACTGTGTGATATACAGTAATCAGTCACAACATTGAAACCACGGGTGAAGTGAATAATATTGATTACAGTGAAGGGGGGAAAGTATTTAATCCCCTGCTGATTTTGAACGTTTACCCACTGACAAAGAAATGATCAGTCTATAATTTTAATGGTAGGTGTATTTTAACAGTGAGAAATAGAATAACCCAAAAATAAAAAATCAAGAAAAATGCATGTCAAAAAAGTTATAAATTGATTTTGCTTGTCAGTGAGTGAAATAAGTATTTGACCCCTTCAACTTAGTACATGGTGGTAAAACCCTTGTTGGCAATCACAGATGTCAGACATTTCTTGTAGTTGGCCACCAGGTTTGCACACATCTCAGGAGGGATTTTGTCCCACTCCTCTTTGCAGATCCTCTCCAAGTCATTAAGGTTTTGGGGCTGACGTTTGGCAATTCGAACCTTCAGCTCCCTCCACAGATTTTCTATGGGATTAAGGTCTGGAGAATAGCTAGGCCACTCCAGGACCTTAATGTACTTCTTCTTGAGCCACTCCTTTGTTGCCTTGGCTGTGTGTTTTGGGTCATTGTCATGCTGGAATACCCATCCATGACCCATTTCCAATGTCCTGGCTGAGGTAAGGAGGTTCTCACCCAAGATTTGACGGTACATGGCACTGTCAATCGTCCCTTTGATGCAGTGCAGTTTTCATGTCCCCTTAGCAGAAAAATGTTTCCACCACCATGTTTGACGGTGGGGATGGTGTTGTTGAGGTCATAGGCAGCATTCCTCCTCCTCCAAATATGGCGAGTTGAGTTGAATCATAAGAGCTCGATTTGGCCTCATCTGAACACACTTTCACCCAGTTCTCATCTGAATCATTCAGATATTCATTGGCAAACTTCAGATGGGCCTGTACATGTGCTTTCTTGAGCAGGGGGACCTTGCGGGCGCTGCAGGATTTTAGTCCTTCACGGTGTAGTGTGTTACCAATTGTGTTCTTGATTTTCCCAGCTGCCTTGAGATCATTAACAAGATCCTCCCATGTAGTTCTGGCTGATTCCTCACCGTTCTCATGATCATTGAAACTCCACGAGGTGAGATCTTGCATGGAGCACCAGACAGAGGGAGACAGTTAATTTGTGTTTCTTCCATTTGCTTGGCGGTGGTCTTGTAGCCCATTCCAGCCTTGTATAGATCTACAATATTGTCCCTGACATCCTTGGACAGCTCTTTGGTCTTGGCCAGGGTGGAGAGTTTGAAATCTGATTTGCTTCTGTGGACAAGTGTCTTTTATACAGGTAACGAGCTGATATTAGAGGCACTCCCTTTAAGAGTGCTCCTAATCTCAGCTAGTTACCTGTATAAAAGACACCTGGGAGGGGGGCGAGGCCTAACCACCCATGCGAATGGTCGCATCTCTGCAGAGCTTCCGGTCAACCGTGCCAATATAAGCCGCCAAGCAACAAACAGAACGAAATATGGGCAATAAAAAAAACAAAAAACCCACATTTCAGGACACCCAGGGTCCCGGATCCAGCAAGAAAGCGGGAGATTTTGTGAGCGCTGGTGGAGACTGATACAGAAGCGCCGCCATCTTCACCACGTGTCTCACCGCCGGTGAGCCTGGCGAGCTCCGACTCACAATACTCGGCTGGGAATCAAATGCTACAGGAGATCTTGCAGAACCTTCCCTCGAAAGGAGGTATAGCCTCCATTCTATCAAAATTAGAGGCCTCCATGCAGGAAAAACTATCCTCCATCTCCACAGAGGTACGCCAAATGGGGCTCAGGGTGGGAGACTTGGGAGACAGGGACAATATCCAACTCAAGCTGCACAACATAGAGCAGAGACAAGACACACAGGAGTATAAACTAGTCCAAATCATGCGCCACACAGAAGACCTCGACAACCGGGGCCAAAGAAATAACCTACGTGTTAGGGGTATACCGGAGGCTCAGGGAGAATCCGAAGATGTCAAGGATACTTTAAAACCTTATTTAACAACATTTTACAATGCGCCCCAGATACCCCGATATTGATTGACAGGGCACATAGAGCAGTTAGACCACGAGGCGTGCCACAGGAGACCCCTAGGGACATAATCTGCAGGGTTCATTATTATACCCTTAAAGAAGACCTACTCCGTCAAGCCAGGAACTCTCCAGAACTAATTAAGTACTCCACACAGATCCAGATCCTGCCAGACCTAGGATGGCAAACAGTCCAAGGGAGAATAGCTCTAAGGCATATAACACAGGCACTGCAGGCAAAGGAAATACGATATCGATGGGGCTACCCATTCTCACTTACCGCTTTGCACCAGGGAGTACAGGGCAGCATCATGACGGTACTTGATGTGCCAGACTTCATTAAAACATTTGACATCCCTCAAATGGAGATTCAGGACTGGTATGACCTCTGGTCACAAGGAACCACACAGGCCTTACCACAACGTTCTCGATGGAGAGGAACGACTGAGAAAAGGAGAACACCAGGAAAAAGGCTCCCTTTCACACCAGCTTCCAGACCACGGTCGGCAGTGCGGGGCACCTAACTGGACAACACAACACCCAGAGCTTAAGATTTAAGACCTACACACCCTCCATGCAAGGAAACCCGACGAATGATGGACTTTAATCACCCCAAGAACACCAACTAACCCCAGCAGATTGGCACAGCATCTTTACAGCCCTGAGCTGGACAGAATATGATGACACCTTTAGTAGAAGGGTGCAAGTAAAATGTTATACAATATAAAATGCGATATAAGAATATGACACAGATAGCTTTATATCGACAACACACTGTAACTACCAAGGTAGCGAAATAACGGGACTAGGAAGTTGGGAGGATTGACTGTCACAGGTGGCGATGGGGAGGGAAGAGGAGGGAAGGACGAAAAACCCCCAATTAGGGACCTTGGTCATCACACACATACACAAAGCTAGTATTAAGTACAAGAGTATTATCTAGCTACTTCCTCAAACTTATCCATGTTTTTCATTATTTAAAAAAAAAAAAGTTTACATTAAGAACCGAGGATACCCCATTGGGACTCCCATATATTACTCAGAAATATTACCAAATATAGCAGAGGCCCCGGGGGGAGGGGAGAATGTGGCATATACCTCTATAAAACTTAATTGTGCAATGTTTACGCATATGTGATGTGTATATACGGTTTGTATTTTTTCTAATTGCTTACTCTACAGGAGACGTCACCTCATGTCATATACACAGGTGGGCAGCCCTACCCCCAGACCCTCCCACTAACAAAACGACCTCTAAACCCAAATATACTTTCAAAAGCGCTTGGCGTTAAGATCCACGAGTAATTGTGAACGGTTGCAGAGAACTGCAGTGCAAGACAAAACACCAGCAGACAGCTACAATTGAAAGCCACAATTAATTTTGATTTTCACAAAACAAGAATACCTATTACCCCGAGTATCCAATTACGGTTACGAGCGGTGCACTGATGCATGTTTTATCCCACAAGACACAAATTCCCGACTCCGCTACTAAAGCTGACGGTGAAATAATTTGCGCACCCACTCCTGATTAGCTAGTGGAGACACTAACTATAACAAGTGATCTCAAGATCTAGAAATCACTTCTTCACAAGTTCATTTTCTAGTTGGTTTTATTACTTTTTAATTTGTTTTTTTGTTACCTTTTTGTCATACATCACGCACACTCTCAGGTTGTCACGGCTTACAGTGACTTGACATCAATTGAAACCACCAAAGAAGCCTCCATGACAACACCCAGGAATCATTTGGTTACCATAGACACAATAAATATACTCTCCTATAATGTCCGGGGACTGAACACACCGGAAAAAAGGAACATGGCACTTCGGGAATTTCATAGACTACAAGCAGATGTAGTATTTGCGCAAGAAACACACTTCAGGGGATCCACAGCCCCAAAATTAACAAATGGACAATACTCTCATGCATACTACAATAACTTTACACACAGCAAATTGCGGGGAGTAGCTTTCCTGATAGGAGCCAAACTACCATTTGTTTACCATCAACACTATGCAGATGAATCAGGCCGATATGTTATCCTTCAGGGTTCGATTAGCAACTGTCCGATAACCCTGGTTAACATTTATCTACCAAACACACAACAATGCCATACGTTCCGTAGAATATTAGCCAAAGTTCAACAACTCACTACAGGAACCCTAGTCATAGGAGGCGACTTTAAGATATCAATAGACGCTCAAAAGGACAGCACGGCACAACATTCTAGTCACCTACATCCAATTAGAGCACAATAAAACTACTACTAAACAGCCACCAACTAGTAGACTGCTGGAGAGCACTCCATCCCACAACAAAAGATTACACATTTTATTCAAGGCCAGCCTCCACTTACACAAGAATAGACTTCTTCCTCACCATACATAGGGATCTTTCACTGGTGACCTCGGCGTCGACTGGCAACATCACATGGTCGGACCATGCCCCAATCCATATGAAATTAAGAATTCCATCTTTGGCTCAAGGTAAAGGCCAGTGGAAACTTAACACCACCATCCCACAGCGAAACAGGCAATTGCCAAAACCATATCCCACTACTTCCAGGACAATACCACACAAGACACTACTCCTTTCCTTCAATGGGAAGCCCATAAATGTGTAGTAAGGGGGGAACTAATAAAATGGGGATCCTTTCTCAAAAAAGCAAATATTAAAAAAACAGAATTACTGAATGACATAAAAAAAACATGGAAGAGGCACATAAAATAACCATGTCTGAAGCTGACCACCGAAAACTCTTATCCCTCAGGTCCAAACTGACCCTCCTTCTGCAGGCGAAGGCTAAAAAATCACTAGTATGGACCAAGCAATTATTCTATGCCCAAGGGAACAGATAGGAAAACTCCTAGCCACTGCACTTAAGCAAAGTCAGGAAAGAAAATTAAAACGACTAGCAACAAAACAGTTCAAACAAATGAAGATAGCGAAGACTTTTACCACTCTTTATATAACATTACAAAGACCTCACAGGATAAGGAGGCGATTAAGACATACCTAACTGACAAATTTGACAGAGTGCTTCCCCAAGTGGTGACCAAGTCCCTAGATGAACCATTCACGCTCACGGAACTCATACAACCGGTTAAAACTACCACATCAGGCAAAAGCCCAGGCCCAGATGGCTATTCAGCCACATATTATAAAACATACTTGAAGGAATTAGGCAAACACTTACTAGAAGCCATTAACTCCATAGGTCCAGACAAACCTATTCCCCGACCAAGTCTAGAAGCTAATATCACCCTCCTACACAAAGCCGGGAAGAACCCGAACGCCTGTGGCAGCTACAGACCAATCTCGTTGATTAACGTTGACATGAAAATATTCACGAAAATGCTGGCACTGAGACTAAAGCCTTTACTTCCAACCCTGATCCACCCAGATCAGGCAGGCTTTGTCCCCTCTAGAGAGGCAAAAGATAATACTACGAAGATCATTAACCTAATTCATGGGGCCCAGGGGAACAAGACTCCCTCCGTTATGTTGGCGTTTCACGCAGAGAAGGCATTCGACAGGGTGGACTGGAACTTCCTTCTGTGGACGCTGGAGGCGTTAGGCTTTGGTAAGCGGTGGATCAAGGTGATCTATTCTTACCTTTCAGCGAGGCTTAAAATTAATAGGATACTATCTGATCCCTTTCAAATACCGAATGGCACAAGACAGGGGTGCCCCCTGTCTCTGTTGCTGTTCATCCTGGGACTGGAACCCTTGTTGAATGCGGTGAGGAACAAGCAGGGGGTGGAGGGGATAGGGCTGGGCAAACACCAATATAAGGTGTCTGCTTTTGCGGACGATTTATTATTTACACTTGCTAACCCACTTTCGTCCCTCCCCACATTGGACCTTTTTAGACGAATATAGTGCCCTTTCAAACTTTAAAATAAACGTTGATAAATGTGAGATACTAAATCTCACGTTGTCAGAAAGAGATAAAGCACGACTACAAACACAATATGCCTTCCATTGGGCAACAAAGTCTATCAAATACTTAGGTGTTAACATAACTCCCCATAATAAGCTGTTATATGGTGCCAACTTCCCACAACTCTTGGGGGCTATCAGTGAGGACCTAAAGGCATGGAACAAACTGCATTTTTGATGGTTCGGAAGAGTAAACAGCCTTAAAATGAATGCACTTCCTAGGCTATTATTCCTATTAAACACTCTCCCAATCTCCATTCTACGCACCTTCAAGAAGATCCAATCGTTATTTACACAATTCATATGGGCCAAAAGACGCCCGAGAATACGATACAACATACTCACTAGATCTAAGGAAGATGGAGGAGTGGGCCTCCCGGACATCTGGTTATACTACCAGGCAATTCATTTGAGCCGTATAATGGACTGGTCATATCAGACAACATCCAAATTGTGGATCCCAATAGGACAGGCACAAATAAGTGAATCACCAATGACTATGCCTTGGATGCTGACAGCAGCCAGGGATTGGATGACACCCCCCACACCCGACGGTAACTCCAACTATACGGATCTGGAAAAAAATATGTACCATGCCAGACATAGCCCCAACTACATCTCCAAAATATCCTATAACAAACAATCCCCTTTTCATAGCAGGGAAGGGAGGCCTGCAACTCACACCGCAGAGGGATGGTAAAAAGGAAGTAGACATAATACTAGATGAAGTGGTGAGGGAAGATGGTTTGACTTCAGTCACCCAGTTAACAGAGGGGAAGGTTCCGACACTCATGCAGCGGTTCCAATATGAGCAAATGCGGCACTTCTTGAAAGCACAAGGCTTATCAAGTTGGATCCCAAGAGACCTAACCAAATTTGAAAAGCTATGCTCAGGAGATAAAATGCCCTCTAAGCCGACCTCCTTATGCTACAAACTTCTTCAAACTCACATACTCACAGTTACCATACTTTACCAGACTATGGAGGGAACATTTAGACAAAGACCTAGAGGAGGGAGACTGGAAGAGTATCTTTAAAACTATTTTTCATGCACACTCTAGTGTTCCACTGCAGGAGATTAACTATAAATTTGTCTCCACGTGGTATACCACCCCGGTGGATATAAATAGATTTGACCCTAACACATCCCCTAACTGTTGGAGATGCGACTCAGACAGAGGCACCTTCCACCACATATGGGGGACGTGCAGCGAAGTATCGGGCTTCTGGAAAGAAGTTTGGAATACTGTCAATTTAGTAACAGACATAACCATAACCATACCCTTTAACCCAGAGACACTTCTCTTATACCACCCTAACGGCTAACTCACCATGCCTTAACAGGTTTGGGACAGAATGACTCCCAAGAAAAACTTTACATACGAATTACAATAAAACCCTTTTACACACGAGAAACGAGGGACATAAATCAATTCTATACCTGAATAATTGAGGAACACCATCATGACTTTAACCATACACTATTGTTACTGATAACGTGAAGACTCTATGGGATTGTGTACTGTTGCGATGTATAGTACCGGTTTGTTTGTTTTTCTTTTTACTTTTACTGTTACTTCTACACTGATGTAATGCAATGTTGACAATTTTGTATTACTGTAATACCGAAATATGATGTGATATGCACAAAAAAGAAAAAACAATAAAAATAAAACATATATATATGTAAATATATATATATATGAAAAAGACACCTGGGAGTCAGAAATCTTGCTGATTGATAGGGGATCCAATACGTATTTCACTCATTGATATGCAAATCAATTTAGAACTTTTTTGACATTTTTTCTGGATTTATTGTTTTTCTTATTCTGTCTTTCACTGTCTTTAGTTTGTCTTTAAACCTACCATTAAAATTATAGACTGATCATTTCTTTGTCAGTGGGCAAACGTTCAAAATCAGCAGGGGATCGAATACTTTTTTCCCTTACTGTATATAATTAGGAAGGCACCTATCAAGGGGTGGGATATATTAGACAGCAAGTGCACAGTTAGTTTTTGAATTTCATGTGTTAGAAACCGGAAAAATGGGCAAGCGAAAACACCAGAGTTGCTTTGACAAAGGCCAAATAATGATGGCTAGACGACTGAGTCAGAGCATTTCCAAAACGGCTTATGGGGGATGTTTTTCTCTGAAAAGGCAATGTTAACATTTAGAAAGCCTGCAGGCACATGCTATACTCACCACAACAATTACATTAAGCTGTAGTTGTTTTGGTGACGATAGTATCCCTTTAACTCGTTGGCTGAGAGCAATACGTGGAAGATTCCATGCAGGAACTTCTGGCTGTCCTGCCTGCTAAGAAAAAAAGGAAAGAGCAGTGCTCAGCGAACTCCATTTAAGAGTCAAACTGGTTCAAAATGGTTAGACGTATCTGAAAGATTTGTGTATTAGCAGCAACATGCTTAACACCTACGAGCATTATGGATCACAAATTCTTCTGATTCTTTACCACTGTATTTAAAATAAATAAATAAATTCCACTTGCTATGGCTGCTTTGAACAATGTAGAAGGACGAGAAAATGAACACTCCAGGCTCGATGACCACTTGACCAGCTTGAAATAGGGGTTACAGTACCAGGAGTACCCAAGAGCCCATCCTATTGCAAGTAGTCAAACTATGTTTTTAATTATTTTGCTTTTCACCTGTGGTCCATCTGGTGCTGCACCCTACCTCCTCTATTAATGGCATAGTGAAAGAAGCTCCTAGTTCAATATCAGGAACGTCCATTTGTTCTCTTGAATCCTGTAGTGCCGTGTAAGTTCATTGACAGAGAGCATCATATATTAGCAGCATTCTTAGCACCGTATATAGATCACAAAATCTTTGTTTTACCCATTTTTTTATTTTTTTTTTTATTTTTTTTTTAGGACTCCTCTTTGGAAAAACGGCTATCAAGCAGACACTGTTTACAAGAGCATGAAACAGCCAGGTACTTTGTAGTTTGCATTCAATGTTCATCAAATATTATGCTAATTTTGAAATATATATATATATATATATATGTGTGTGTGTGTAAATATAAATTTCCATCACTAGGGGGAGAACAAGCACTTTAAATGTTCTGGCTGTGCAAGTACTGTAGAAAGGGAAATATTTTCAGCCAAGATTATGTAGTCAATAAGTATTTTTCTCCACTAGGGGGAGAACAAGCACTTTCAATGTTAGGGAAATATCTGTTCAGCCAAAGTTATGTAGACTTAAAGGATATGCATTAATTAAACAGAATATATATATATATATAATATACACATTATACATTTATTTAATTATGTACTTGAGATCTGGTATCCCTGTATTTGTTTCTTAACTTAACCTATTCCGCTGTTATATATGTCCCTGTCTTAAAAGTATTTACATTTTTTGCAGATATGTTGTGCAATTAAATAATTAAGGCAAACATGTTTAGCAGTTTACTGATTTTCGATAAAGTCTATTCCAAAAGCCATGCATATTTTTTTTTTCATTCTTTTTGAATGTCATGTGCATTTAAAAAGGAAAAAAAAACAAACAAAACACTTAACAATGCTGGTAGTGTGAATCTATTATATAGTGACTGTGACATCACACATTCTCACTGAGTTTGTAGTAATTACTGTGTAACATCACAAAAGGCCACACACAAGTACACTTGGGAGCTTATATGTGTGTATCTAAAAAGATGTGTAAAATAAAGTTGTGGCAAGACTGGAAAAAGTATGTGTATATTACATTTTCTTCCTTATTTGGTTTTCTAGGGTTTAGGTTAGATTTAGTGTGGTGGTGGTGGTGGTGTTTTGTTTTGTATTTGTTTTATTACTAAAAACATACACATCAAACACCGTAAAAGCTACATTTTGGAATCTAAAAGTGTCTATAACTTAAACTCCAGATATTGCTCGATAATTAAAAGGTACTCCTCCAACCTGAGTTTATTCTGACAGTGGACATGTTTAATTTATCAACAGTAAGAGATGAGGTAAACTGTGTGTAATGTAAAGCAAGGAGGAGTTTCAAAATTCACAGATTTACCCCAAAAAACAAACAAACTTTAGCCTTTTGCAACTAATAAAAAAGTTTAAAGAAATCTGCATTTGTTTCCCCTTTTGCCTTGCCTGTTCTCCAGGATAATCTTCTTTGCCACGTTTTCATATATAATGATTTCTCTTTTTAATGGTTGCATTTTAAACAAAATGAACTGTGTGTGTTTCATGCCTTTTATAAGTGATATTTTATTTATTTATTTTTTGCTTTCTTAATAACCTCAACAATCATTTTGGCCACATACTTTTTATTTATTTATTTATTTATTTTTTTCCCCTCATATATATTCCATTATTGACAGGAAGTGGAAGATGATGTTAAAGGGACACTGTAGACATTTAACTATCTTATTGAAGGTGCTATAGTCCTCCCCTCTCCCTTCTTATTCCCCAATGCCCAATATTAAACTGATTAGTAGGCTTTGAAGCATGGCTTCAAAACACACCTCCAAGCCCTCTGGGTATGTAAGCCTAGAATCCTATTTCCCGACTCTTATACCGTAACATCATGAGAACATGCGCAGTGCAGTCAAGGTCGGCCATAGAGAATCATTATGTTCAATGATTCTCTATGGAGGAATCGTAGCCGCAACAAGTGCCACACATGCGCTTATGTTCCACAGTACTCCTCATAAGGAGCATTAGGTTGGGCCATCCTCCTGAAGGCACGCCTCCAGAATGAAGTAACCATCGAAGGAAGCTGTGACAGTGCTTAGGGAAACATTGCGCTGGAGAAAAGGTAAGTCATTTTTTTTGTTTTTATTTTTATACAGATGGGACTGAGGGAATTAATGGGCACTAGGACCGTAGCGCTAGGAATATAGATATGTATCCTAGAGCCTACAGTGTTCCTTAAACCAAATATTTTCTGGTTGTGTGATGCATAAGTAGTGAATACCTGGTAATTTTGTGTTTTGTCTGATTAAAATCTTAACCAGAAAAAAATCCCAAATTTTAAAAATTCTTATTTTTGTCAGAAACATACATATGTGTATGTTTAAAAGAAAGCTGGGTAAGACATTTTTGAAAATACAACAAAGCCCATTTGCTGCTAGTTATGAAATTCTACAGGCACTTCTGTAAATGTTCTGTTTTTGCTAAATGTAGGAGGGCTAGATACATATGAAATATGTAGTATGTTTAGGAGCTTGGTATGCAGCACAATGATTTAAAAAAAATAAACACATTCTGTTGTGTTTTTCACAATCACAGAATAAGTAACTGGGCATTCCTGTATATCACTTGAGCAAGTCAAACTGATAGCTTGCAAGTAACATCACAGCAAAAACTAGGTGCTAGATCTTTTGCAAATAAGAAGGGATTTCTCCAAATATCAGTTTCCTTTGAACAGGACTTCAGATTGTGCTATTTCACACTCACACTACAGAATGTACGTAAAGAAAGAACCTCACCCTTACAAGACTGATATTTTCCAAGCTGTGATACACTTCTATCCTTGAATATAAAATACATTTAGTTGTAGCGTTGAAACGTTTTGTAACCCGTATCAAGAGCAGGAATTATTTGGCAGAAAGATTTTATGGTATTGAGATTATTTTAGCATGTCTGCCATACAATTCTATGCATTGGATTTAGTAGTAGAATTTACACAAGCAAAGACAATTTAAAAAAAATAGTGTGTGTGTCTGTATATATAAACACGTACTGTTATGTTATTAATTATTAGCACTGTTATATTTGTTTTAAACACAATTTTTTAAAACTTATTTTTGAATACAAAAAAAAAAACTTGTCAGATGAGTGACCTCATATTAACGTTGAGCAATTAATTCACTTGACTCTCTTTGTTTATACGTATTCATTTTTTTAAAAAATTTTTATTTATTTTTTTGTGGAGGAAGGAAAGTTTGTGAATTGTGACAAATAGACAGCAGCAATTTTAAGCTAATATACACCTGGATACATTTCCCTCTGTGCTTTCTTTGACTGACTACATTTTACAATTTTTCTGTCAATACACTAATTTGTAAATAAACACCTTTTCAATGTTAATTGTATTTATGTAAAAACGCGAGTGAAAAATTAGGCTTGTCTTAAATAAGCTTAATTGTACCTTTTATCTACTAATCGATCTCTCCACATTGTCTGCCTCAGCATTTTTCAGTATGGCATAAATATCACTAGTGAAATGAAAAGCACAAAGTGAATACTAAAATAACTATCGTGGAGGAAAAGAACGCACACTGTATCTAATGTCAAACAGCCAATGTGAATAGATTACTATACAGTGCTATTTTGTGCTGGACTCTGGAATAATGTATTACCACTTTTAAGGTAAATTCTACAAATATGTGGATGTGTAATCTGTTACTGTAGCGGATTTCCAAATACACATTGGCTTTATATATACACATATGCAATCTGTGAACACAATCACATGCTGATAGTGTTAAGCTGTAATTGCTCTCTAAAGCATGAAAGGCAGCAACAGTATTGGAAATTAACCCAAAATAGTATTCTACTGAGCAGCAAATTGAACTTTTTCTATTCTATTTTTTTACATTTGTTTTTTTCTCCTCCTTCAGTGAAAGCAGCATGCGGCAAGCATACTGGGAGCTGAAGAAGGAAATGTCTAATTTACATGTAGTGACTGAAGTACAAGCCGAGGTGCTAAGAAAGCTGAAAGGAACCATAGCTGCGACCAAGAAAGGCAAGTCACAGTGCCTGTTGTAATAAGGCCACTCTAAACCTCTGATCCAAACAGTGCCATTTAAAGAGCAACCAGCTATCATATCTCATCAGAATCTTGCTATTTGAGGCTGATACGCCGGAGTAGATTAGAGCTACTGCCTACCAGCTTTCTGGTTTGGCTTCTATCTCATACTGGTCAACTTCACACATAAAGGTGTTGCTGATGTGTGTTTTCTGTAGTGCTGTATGCTGTTCCCCTTGTGGCTTATTTTCTCAGCCAGCTTAAGTGTACAAGGCAGAGGTGTTAACAGTTTATTTCTATTTGACCTTTTACCATATCTGCCTCACATAAAAACAATGCAGACATTTCACATCCAAAATGCCAAATGCTTCCTTTCTGTAGGTTCTCGTGTGGAATCATTTTATAGTCAGATAATCAAAATAGGTTATTACATTTTTTAGTTGGTAAAAACAAACAAACAAAAAAAATCTTACTTTTACTTTTGTTTGAAGGGGGGGGGGGGAAAAAGCAAATACGCATTTTCTGCTGTTTGTTTTTATGTTCAGAAAAAAAACAAATATCCAGAACAGTAACAAACTGATGTAGTTTGTGTGTGTTTTTATTTATATTTATATATATATATATATATATATATATATATTATTATTTTATTAATTTTGGACAGCTTTGAGAATGGTGAGGATTTCATGTTCTTCATTGGGGGAAAAAAAAAAAGCTTAAAAAATAAATAAAGTTTTTTATATATATATATATATATATATATATATATATTATATATTTTTATATATATATATATTATATATATATATATATATATATATATATATATTATAATCTTTTTTTTTCCTCTCAATTTAGTTTTTAAATTAAGCTTGGTGATTCTTATTTAATATTCTGTGTGGGAAAATGTATTCACTGCTAGAACTAGTTTCACTTCCTATCCAGTATCCCTGTAGTGCATTTTCAGCTGCTATGTCATTTATATTGTTTTATTATTCAATATTGTTTCAGTTTCCATCTTGGCTCTATGTCAGTCATTTTATAAGCTCTGCCTTTTGCACCTGGCAGTCCGCATAGAGAAAGCATGCCGAGGAGAGGATAAATTAAAGTGTTTCTATTTCTCCTCCTCATTTGCAATGTGTGTCCTGGATGTGCTACTATTATAATTTATTTATAAAACACCCCATTCTGCAGTGCTGAAGTGGATTATGATTTATAAAATATATATATATATTTTTTTTTTTTTTAAGTCTTTCATGTAAATTTAAAAGTTGGGGAAAAAAGTTTACACAAGTTATAAGCAATTTTCAGTTTTTATTTAATGGTGCAATTTCCATAGAAGTTACCATTTCAGTTTAAGCTTCTAAGCCAGTTCCCATTGTAACCATGAGGCAATTATCTCAAAAGCTGCGAAATGCCCATAGTTTAATAAATCCTCCAAGTGCTTCGTTCCGTTCTCATTTATCACTGTGAGCCTCCATATGCAAGTATTTTATGTTGTTGGAGTTAACTCTGGGCCGTTTAGCGATATCTTAAGAGAATCAAAATTTTGGGGAAAAAAAAACATTTTACAACTTGGAATTAAGGGAAATGAATGTCAAAAAATTTAGTGTTGAACAAAACATTGATTATTGTGAAGTGTTTTTTGTTTCTAATTCACATGATCACTTTTGCAGCATCACAGAGTGCCCCGGTGCAGTGTGAAGATGACTTGGCTAGGAACTGCAGTGGATTACATTTAACTGCTACTGGTAACAAAGTGCCCTTCGCCCATGAACACAAGTTTGAACATAGCAGGATCTCCATATCAGGACCTCCACCGCACTCATACAAGAACACTCTTTATGAAAAGACTGAACTAACATCACATGCAGGTGAAAGGCCGATTCCAGTTGGGGGAACAGACTGTGACAATGTTGATTTTTTTCCAAAGTCGTCTTTAGAAGAAAATTCCTGGGTAATGCCAAGTCCTCCAAAGCCTAGCGAAACATTATTTTGGGAACCTAAAAATAATTCTATGGCAAATAATTTATCACAGTTCTATAATCCCAACTACCCATTTAAAAGCTAAGAAAATCTTAAATGCTGCAGACGTAGAGGATAACAGCTCCCTGGGTACTTGAATTATGTTTCTGCATATCCTGAAAATATGTTCATGTATAAATATTTTTCCGTTAAGAATGTAAGAGCACCATAATTAATTTATGAATAAGGAAAACTGGAAAATATTTTGCTTCACTAGATACTTACTGGGTTATTTATTAGACATGGAATTGACTTAGGAATTTAAAATTTTAGGCCAAAATACTTGCATTGAAAATACATTTTCCAACTCTCCTGTTTATCTAGATAGGTTATTTTCGTTTAAGATTTGCAATTCCTTAGTCCATTTCAACAATTCATGGTTTGGTGAATAACCTTACTCAAGTATTCTATCTTTTTACAATTTCTCAAAATTAATTAAAGGTACCATGAGCTTCACATTTCTAAATACCACTTAATGTGAAGGAGTACAACAAATTTTAACTCGTTCGATATTGTTTGATTTAGTGTTTTGTTTTTTTGTTTGTTTTCAAGGAGCAATTAAGGTGTATATATGGAGCAAGGCCATGAAGATGTCTTTGTGTTTTTTCCCCTCCTCTCTCAATATTGATCATTGCTTGAGACAGAAACAGGGAGCTACTGATTGCTCATTTCTCCTAGTAGGATAACTTCTGTCCTGTCATGCCCATACTATGATTTGATTAAGCAAGCATTATTGCTGTAACTGGTGAACCATCCTTGTCAACCTCTTTGATGAATCACATGCACTGCAGAGGAATTTTGGGAACTATGGGCAAAAATCATTCCAGATAAGAATGTTGATGTTTTGCTTGTGTTTTAAGGGAAATAATGGACAATAGTATTATGAGACCATCTGTATAAACCTTTATTGCTACTTTAATTCAAGCATCTGTCGATTTTACCATAAGGTAAACCAATGTTTCTTGGTCTGAATGGTGATTTTAGTTTATTAATCAAGTACAGATGTATTAAACTGGCTGGTATGTATTCTCAACATGCATATACATTAAACTGTGATCAACACATATTTATTTTACATGAAACCCATTGTTGAAAAGTGTTACTATCCCATTTTGGTCCAGTGGCCATGGATAATATGATACACTATAGTCATGAATCTGTAGTATAGCTTGAGAAAAGAGAAAAAATATATTTTTACCTTGCCTCAACAACAGCTTTAAAGAAGAAATATGGAAAAGCAACAGTCCTGTAATATTTGAAAATTACCTCAATGCACTCGCTTTGTGAGACTTGCAAGGCTTTCGTCCTAAACTTGTACTTATTTGTGCATTCTGTTATTATTATTATAACGAAAATAAACTTTTTGGCATGGTGATGTGTAAACAAGCCATGATCTTTATCTAACCAGCGTCCAGGAATCTCTATCCAATTCGGAGTGTAAGTTATAAGAATTTTCATTCATTGACTTCTATCAACAACAAAAATGCTGTGTTTTCCTCCTTTACTATCAGCCATTGTTATGGATATTTGAGGAATGAGATGCAATAAGATTTCATAGTAAAGTTCTTCTTTATTTTGGGTCAAATGTCCAGAATAAATGCAATGTTTGAGCCTAGTGGCACTATGCTTATGTAGCAATGCATATGAAATCTGGATTTATTTATTTGTCCCAAATCACACTAAAACGTTATTTGATATCAAACTGTACTATTGAACTACTGGTCAGTACATTGTCCGTGGACTCTAACAACAACTCTAACAAAGACCATGATGTAATAAACTTCCCAAAGGATTTAATGCTCTTAGAAACATTTTCAAATGATGTATCTACAAAAATTCCATAGACTTTAATAGGAACTTCTGTAGATAACTCATTCGGAGCCTTTTCTAACTGCATTTGGAAAGCTTATTAAATCAAGGCCAAAGTTGTTGGAACTCAAATCAAATTTGAAAGTATCAACTGTTTTTTAGAAATTATGGTTTTCTAGACTAGGTAAATAATAATGTTTTAAGAGTGCAGTATTTTTATATCTTGTATGTGATATATATCTGTGTATGTACACACGCGTGGTGCATACACTTAGAGACAGAGATTATGTACATGTATGTGCATATTTTGGTGTAGGTTGAATATATAAGAATTAGAACTGTAAAAAGTCTAAATCCTCTTACAGAGTAACTTTGAAATCCTCTTACAGAGTAACTTTGAAAAAAACAAACTGGTCCCTTGGTATTGAGAACGGACTGTTTATAGAAGAGGAAAACAGGCTTACGTTAGTTTGTAATATCAAGAGAGATCATTTGGAAGAGTATGCTTGGTTGCAACTTGACTTGGTTATAACTAAAATATACCAACTGATCGTTTATATCAAAAATATAGAAGTATATCAAACTATTACAAAATCAAAATATATTTTATAATATTAAAACATTTTTACATAGAAACATAGAATGTGACGGCAGATAAGAACCATTCGGCCCATCTAGTCTGCCCAATTTTCTAAATACTTTCATTATTCCCTGGCCTTATCTTATAGTTAGGATAGCCTTATGCCTATCCCACGCATGCTTAAACTCCTTTACTGTGTTAACCTCTACCACTTCAGCTGGAAGGCTATTCCATGCATCCACTACCCTCTCAGTAAAGTAATACTTCCTGATATTATTTTTAAACCTTTGTCCCTCTAATTAAAGACTAATGCATCCAAAAATATTAAATAATTTCAAAAGCTTATCCAACAATATTAAATTGAGTCCTTGGTCAGTGAAAGTTATTCTGGATCTTTGAAACACTAACAACTCCTGGGCTGTGAAGGTTTAGAGTCGGAGACATGTGCTGTGCTTATAAAAGGACAACGATGCAGGAGCTGTGCAGTCGTTATTCCAAATCTATGGAAGCCTGAAACAAATCTTTCCAGGATGTATGTGTAGTTAATCAGAGGACTCCAACCAGAGCTGTGGTATGCTAGGAACCAGAAAACCCCAGACCTATATACATTATAGAGTATCTGTCCCTAAAGGAGAGTTCTAACTGTTACCTATACAGTTATCATTTCATAATTATGTGTTTTGATAATACTGTTTAGAAATATTGCTAGCATTAATTATTTTATTACAGAACACAACGGCTTTATCTCACGCTCTGCATGGGAACACTGAATTTGTTTGGCCACGTTGGGACACTGAAATGGCATTTGGCCTGACCCCCTTGCTGATTTTAGCTAATCCAGTGCTTTTCCCCTGGGAAAGCATTGGATTGGGTAAAAATTGGCAATTCTGATGATGTGAACAAGTGGGGGGGGGGGGGATGCACAAGTGCCGGTGGACCCGCACGGTGCTGGAAATGAGGTGAGTTTTTCTTGCTTATGGTGGGTTTTGCACTATAGGGTCAGGAATACATGTTTGTGTTCCTGACCCTATAGTGTTCCTTTAAAGTTCCTTGATTACCTTAATTCCATAAGCTAAAGTCAGGCCATCTTTGCAATAGTGTGTGTGTGTGTGTGTGTGTGTATCACACAAAAAGATTGCGCTTAGGTGTCCTTTTTGGTTAATTCAATTTTAAATAAATCTTATCTTATTACATCAATGTAATATACAAAAATTTCTTCTCCACTTGGTTTTCAGGGTAGCGGTAATTCATGCAATATACATGTAACAATAAGAGGTGCAGGGGGAGAGACAGACAAGCCACTTGTACAGCAGTATATTAAAGACCATTATTTTATTATAAAAGGTAGACTCTCGCATGTCATTAGTATCTTACTATTTTAATATGGCTCCGTTGGCTAGATATCGCTTTCCTTCACAGTGCTCCTGTAAATTATGACCTTCTCCAATGCTTGGAACTTTTGAGCCAATATCTTCAAATATCAAATGTCACTCTTGTAATTGACAGGAGGCTGCATTCCCCAAGTGCGTTTCATCCCTTAACTTGGGTTTTCTTAATGGCATGTAGCCTTGTTTTGAGGTTGCCTGGTTTGAAAAGTCCACTAATTAAAGGTGTGGTTCTCTCCTCAATATTTAATAAACCATAAAATTATTTTTTTTTCCCCAATTGAAGTTTATTAAAATTATGTTATAGTTGATACTGTGGTACAAAAAGTCAAAAAGGGTGTACATTTTATACATCATAGCATTTATTATACATCGAGGTAAACAGTCATTTCCAATAGCGTGAGTTGCAGCCAGTGTCCCTATTGTATCAATATGATAACCCTTCAACTATCTTCTAACATTCCCTAGTTCTCTATCTTGGATCAAGCCTAGTTCATCTCATGCTACTCTGTAGCTTCTTGGAGCAGCCCCCTCATCTATATTAATTCTCATGTACACCCATATCAAGGGGGGGGGAAAAGGAATTTAAACCGAGAGCCCTGAGACTCCTTAACCAGAAATTAAGAAGCCTGAAGAAGGAAAATATAGCTCTAAAGAAGGAAGAAAGGTAGACTGGTATGGTGATCTGAGGTCATTTAAGAGAGTTGGAATGGTTAGCATTGCATGCCTCACAATTTTTGGTTGTTATTCACACCTTTGGTTGCACTACGACTCCCATATTTTTGAGATCTTGTTCTTTTGATTTGTTGATACTGTTGATGCTAATTCATACATATGGTTTAACCTTCGTTTATCTATTCAGCTTGGTTCAGAAAGGCATACATTTGATTTCCAATGAAGTGCAATGAGGGCCCTAGCTGTTAGGACCACCTCTGTGAGACTATTGCTTTCTTGTAAAATGACCAGTATGGGGGCAAATCTAGCCACAGACCTGTTTCAAATGTGGGTGTGAGTATGATGCCCAGTGGCTGCTCAATGTTGTAAAAAAGAGACCCCCACTCCTATCGAAATAATGAATGGTGGGAAGCCTCCACCCGTGGCACGTGAGTGGGGCTATTAAACTGCTCGGGGGACCTAGTGTCCCCCCTGGCCCCTACCCATGAGCGTGGACCCCAGGTATCAAAAGAGGGTGTACCTATTGTTTTCCTCCAGTCCCCACCCATAAGCATCGGAAGGGGCCCTAAGTAACAAAAGGGTGGGGACTCTATTGTTTCTCCCCTGGCCCGCACCCATGCATGTGCGGTGGGTAATGGCCAAAGGTAACAAAAGAGGGTGGGGCCTATTGTCGCCCCCACCCATGAGCAGCAGATGCGGGCCCTAAGTAACAAAAGGGGGGAACCTATTGTTCTCCACCCTTCAGGGGGCAATGATGACAGTGGGGGCTAAATGTAAAAAATACCCACCCAAGTGACTAGGGATCCCGAAGCCCCTAGTCACCCTCCTCCCCAATAAAATTAAACCCTACCTATCCCTTTACCCTAAAAATAGTGAGGGAGGAACAAAAAAACTAAATACCTGTAAATAAATAAAAAATTATACTTACCATTAAATGTTGTCTTTTTTTCTTAAACCTTCTTTTCTCATCTCCAAAAAAGGCCAAATAAAAAGCCATAATTACCGTTGAAATTTGAAAATAAAAAAAAAAACCTGAGCGCAAAAAAGAAAAATGCGGTAGAAAGAAAATCCCAATGTCTAAAAAAAAACCTCCACAGGGCGGGGAAAGGTGTGCTTTGATTGGTTAGTTTAAGCCAACCAGTAAGAGTGTTCTGATGGGTTAATTTTCAAGTTACCAATCTGAGCACTCTTATTGGTTGGCTTAAACCAACGAAACAGCGCTCTGAGTCAAATTGCAGGGCTTGGGAAAGGCTTTATAAGTAGATTTGTTGCTGCGTTGGTTGTGGTGAGTTCGTGTCATCTTTGAGATTATAGAGTTTATGATAAAATTGCGCAAACTCTGGCACTATTACGTTGGGATTTACAATTTATGGATTTACAAGTTACGAATGTGGGCTTAGTGGCTAGGTTTTCTTTTTAAGTCTGGTTGCTAAAAGTTTTCCTGCTCTATTCAAATAATTTAGATTTTAGTCTCAACAGAATGTTTGTTTGTTTTGGCTAATTCTAGATCCTGCACTTGGTTTCTAAATTCCTTAATCTCTTGAAGGTGTGTTGCTAGGGGTTCAGTTTTATTCATCATATTTAATTCAGTAAGTCGTTTAGTGAAGTTTAAATATTTGGTGAGATGCTCGCTCTTGACTCTACTAGCACGTTTTGCTTTGGTTAGTCTACAAGTCTCAGTAGATGTTGCCACAGTTGCTGTTGCTGATGTATCAGTGAGTGTCTAATAAAAAGTTGGTATCCTCTCCCATCACCACCTCTCCCAGTCTATATTTGTCCAGTTTTTTAAAAATCTTGGTCAGAAAAGCCACTGTACATATTGACTGTATGGAGCATTATTCAGGTAGCACTATTTTATTAAAAACCTCCCTAGTTTGTCTACATGTTTGTTAATGAATTTGAATGTCATATCCTTGCCAATAAGGATGGAGACAGCTCTTCTTTTTTGCAAAGCATGAGTGGAAATCTACTGGATATAGGGGTAATTAAACTTGGGCCCTTTGTATCCTACTGGAAGTGAGTTTCCTGAAAGAAGGCAACCTATGCCTTATCCCTTTTTGCTTCTTGTAGTGCCAGTCTCCACTTGTGGGGGGAGTTGAGTCCCTTAGTGTTCAATGAAACGAATGTCAGTACCATTTGTGTATATTTATCCCATTTGCTGCATTACATGCTATACTGTTTGTCTGATCTCTATTAGTTCATAAGATCCCAACAGGTAATTCTGACAACCAATACATTAGGTTGTCTTCATGCCTCCCACCAACCTCTCCAAAAAAGAAAGGTCTCTCCAACCTCTCAGTCATTTGAGATTAGATCACCCAGTAAGAAAAGAGTAACAAAGAAAAAAGAAAATAGATAAAAACCAATAAGAACATATAGTTGACCCAAAACAGTGGATATTTGTTGCTGACATCCACAGAATAGACATGTCATAGGAGTGGTGTCTATCATATACACCACCGTGGCCTTAGAAGGGCCATGGGTGATGGGATGACAGAAATCACAAAGTATGACATAAAAAACTACAGTCGGAAGTCGCTACTTATAACTTCAGCATTGCTGAATTAATATGTAAATGTGCCATGTGTAAGAAACATGATCAGATCCAACATCCCTACACCATCATTTGAGATAACCTGAGCCGTGTCTCATAGCTATACATCCATTTGTCTGTATCAATTAGGGATTATTCTAGCCCTAGTGACTGAATAATCTAAATTTTATTAACGACAGGAGGCAAACCTACTATCCCCTTTCCAGGGGAGCTTGCGTGTGGTTTCCTGATCTGAGGGCTGAGAGTCCTCGGATTCAGAAGGCAAGTCTGTGGTAGGAGTGACTTCGGTAGAAGTCCTTGCTTGGAAGGCTGCTAGCGCCTTGGGAATAGACTCGGCGATGGTTGAGACCAGCCAAGCTCTAAGCTTTTGTGAAATTGCTGGCTCGGTATTATCGGACACTTTGTCTTATATGATCTGACCTAGTCAAAGCTAAGAAAGATATTGTATAAAAAGTGGGGTTCACCCAACAATATAAAATAAGTTATTTGTAATTGGGGGTCACCCAAATTCTTGCGCAATAAATGAGTAAGGGCGGCACAGTAGTAAATAGTGGGGTTACCACTAAACATACACAGGTGGTTTATACCACTAATAAGATCAAGTGGGGTTCACCACTAAGGTATTTGGACAGGTGGTTATGTCCTTTATTATAGAACCAGTGTTGGGTCACTTTAATTACTGGATAATATTAGTGTGGTTCACCCTCGAATAAAGGTATGAGTGCACCTATTTATTCTAGATTATAGAGAGTGGCAATAGAGGTGGGGGTCACCCACAATAAATACTCATACACAGAGCAATAAAAAGAAAGGTGGGGGTCACCCACAAGGCCTTTATTAAAAGTAATATATCTGTAAAGGAAACAAGAGAAAAAAAGGAAATGAAAACTGAGAAAATTTAAAAAATTAATTCGCACTTTAAAAGTGCTAGAAAATAAATGAATGAATGATGTACTTACCGGATCTGGCGGTAGAGGGTGCAAGTGCGCCGTGAGAGCCAGAAGACCGCGCAGAAGATGGCCGCCGCAAGCAAAAAGGCGGGAGGGAGCGCGTCTGGTACGTAGGGTGCGAGGGGCGGGGAGCCGAAAAAGGGCGCGAATAGACTGAGCCGCGGACTCCTGGGAAATAGAGTCCGCGGCAGTGGATGCAAACTTTTAAGCCGCGGTTCCCCAATAACGGGAAATACCGCGGCTAAGGAACTTAGGAAAACAAGACACGGCCGTAACTTAAAGAGACATACTTAAGAAAATAAAATTTAGACAAGACTTATAACATGCAGGAAATACTAAATAACATATGTATAAATGTAAATGAGAGGTATAAAACTATTAACAAAAATAAAAACACCAAATTGTATCAAAGACACAATGAAGGAATAAAAAGATATTAAGTGCATGAAGTAAGGGCACAATAATTGGAATAGACTCACCTGGGAGGCAAGCAGCAAAGAAAGAGGAATTGGGAGCAGCTTCACAATGCTATATAATACTGATATACACTCTGATTGGTTGAATTATTTTACAATATTGTTAACTATTTCTTTGCTGCTGGGAGGTTCAGTAAAGAAGGATAAAGCAAATATGAAGCCTCCTGTCTTGCCATAAAATTCTGCCACCATGGGAATAAAATTAAATGTCCCCTTTAGTTTCTTTTTAGTTTATAGTTTGAAAATGACTGAATAGACCTTAGCGGTTAGAGCACCGAGCCACGGGGGTGACTGCCCTTATCCGCAGGCCTTCCCACCCCTCAAGTCCCAATCTGCCAAACCAAATTTTAACCTTTGTAAATTCCCACATGGAACATTACATTAAGTCCCCCGGATTAAGTAAGCCTATACTGGGTCTTCATTTAGCTGTAGTAACCCGGTGCCAGTCGCCAGTCACCCGGGTTGTCTGGGCTGGTGGGGCTTTGGTTTGTGATTCCAGCTGTGGTAAGGGAATGTTCCATTGCTCTAGCATTCTCTGTCCCTCCCTCTGGGGTAAGCACAATCTTCTCCACTCCATTTATCTGCGCTATCAGGCAGATTAGAAAGCCCCATTTATGTGGCATAGAAGCCTTCCTCAGGGCTCTGGTGATGGGGCCGAACACTCTCCTCTTCGCCATCGTGGCTGGGGGCTAATGCGCAAACAATCGAACTCCTGCAAAGTGATCCTCCAGGCTTTGTGGGTCTCGAGCAGCTATCATGAGCCTTTCCTTCACTGTGTAGAAGTGTACCCGGATGATAGTGTCTCTGGGCCCGGCTGCTGGCATGTTCCAGGGTTTCACTAGCCTGTGAAAACTATCAAGGTGTAGTTATCAACTATTAAGAGTACAATTCAAATTTCATTGAACAAACCTAATGATAACAGTATTTTATTTAAACATAAAAAAAACTTACAATGCACTGTTCCAAATTATTACGCAGTAAGTTTCAAAACACTTTATAGGTTGTAAAGAACTGAAAATTGTCATTTGTTGTGTTTGCAGCATATTTACTGAAAGCAAAAGCTATTTCAATCAAACTTATAATAACATTTTAACAGGTCACGTTACATTTTAACATAGGACCCCTTATTTGATAGCAGCTTCACAAGTCTTGCATCCATTGAACTTGTGAGTTTTTGGACAGTTTCTGCTTGAATTTGTTTGCAAGATGTCAGAATAACCTCCCAGAGCTGCTGTTTGGATGTAAACTGCCCCCTCCCACCCTCATAGATCTTTTGCTTGAGGATGCTCCAAAGGTTCTTAATAGGATTGAGGTCAGGGGAGGATGGAGGCCACACCATGACTTTCTCTCCTTTTATCCCCATAGCAGCCATTGATGCAGATGTATTCTTTGCAGCATGAGATGGTGCATTGTCATGCATGAAGATGATTTTATTAAGGAAAGCATAGTTCTTCCTTCTGTACCAGGGAAGAAAGTGGTCAGTCAGAAACTCCACATACTTTGCAGAGGTCATCTTTACACCTTCGGGGACCCTAAAGGGGCCGACCAGCTCTCTTCCCATGATTCAGGCCCAAAACATGACTCCACCACCGCCTTCCTGACGTCGCAGCCTTGTTGGAACAAGGTGGCCATCCACTACTTCCTGGACCATCCAGGGTTGCACGACACTCCTCAGTGAACAGGACTGTTTGGAAATTAGTCTTCATGTATTTTTCTGCCCAATGCAGCCGTTTCTGCTTGTGAGCATTGGTTAGTGGTGGCCGAATAGAAGGTATAAATATATGTCCATACATGCAAAAGCACCCCCAGATATGCAATGATCAGCATAAAGTATGCATGGTGAGACTTGGCATAATGATATAGGCCATTGAGGAGGTGATGAGAATATTTGAACAAGACGACCTCTGTTAAGTATATGTCAAAAGGTGAGGGTACAGGTCACAAATTATTAAGTTGAAGATAATGACAAAAAGGCATAATATAAAACATAACGGTGCAGACGTGGAGTAACTGAAAATTAACAGTTTACATCTAAAGGAAAACCCATTGTGTTAGAAATACCAACCTGTATTCCTTACACTATAAAGCCCTCTGTTCCCTCCCCCATGGCCCCCAGAAAGCCAAAAGGGTTAAAAAGCACATAAACTTCTTTCCCGATTCCAGCGCCAGTATCAGTCAGCTCTGGTTTGGCGCTCCACCTCATCCAATGTCATCCAAAGGGAGAGGCTAATGCACTGAGAGCATTCCGAGCCCTTCCCGTAGGAAAGCTGTGAATAAATATTTTCCTATGGGGATTTCACTGTTGCTGGATGTCCTTATACAGAGTGAGGATGCCTAGTGTCGGTTAGACGTCCTAAAGTCCGGTTAATTCCTGGAGGCACTTTTAGAGGCTGTCTTAGTGCTGCAATTTCTGTAAAACTGATTTACAAAGCAGGACTAAGGGGGGCAGGTACAGTACACCCAGACCACTTTAATGAGATATATAACATTGAAAATGAAAAACCCCTTAAGTTACACCTTGTGATTAAATAGTTTGTAGAATCTACTGTAGCAGCAATACCTTGAAGTAATCACTTTCTGTATTACTGTATCAGTCTCTCACATTATTGTCGAGGAATTTTGGCCCACTTTTCTTTCAATTAGGTTGAGGTCTGGACTTTGACTGGACCATTGCAACACTTCCTTACTTTTTCAGCCATTCTGTTGAAGATTTGCTGGTGTTGTTTGGGATCATTGTCCTGTTGCATGACCCAATTTTGGAAAATCCTTAGCTGTTGGACAGATTGCCTCACATTTGACTCCAGAATACTTTAGTATACAGTTCATGGTCGACTCAATGAATGCAAGGTTCCCAGGTCCTGTGGCTGCAAAACAAGCCCAAATCATCACCCCTCCACCACCGTGCTTGATATTTGGTGCTGATATGCTAGATTTAGTTTTTGGTGCTTCATGGCCAAACATCTCCACTTCAATCTTGTTTGTCCAAAGGACATTGTTCCAGAAGTCTTGTGGTTTGTTCGGATTCAACTTTGCAAACTTAAGCTGTGATGTTCTTTTCAGAGATAATAGGTTTTCTCCTGGTAACCCTTCCAAACAAACCATAAGTGTTCAGTCTATTTCAAATTGCACTGTCATGAACTTTAACATTTAACATGCTAACTGAGGCCTGTGGAGTGAGATTTTTTGCAATTTCTCTGAGCATTACACTGTCATACCTTTGGGGTGAATTTGCTGGGATGTCCACTCCTGGGAAAATTGGCAACTGTCTTGAATGCTTTACACTTTTGAATAATCCTTCTCACTGTAGAATGATGGACTTTTGGAAATGGTCTTATAATCCTTTCCAGTTTGATGGGCAGCAGCAATTGCTTCTCTAACACCATTGCTGATGCTTTTTCTCTGAGGCATTGTGTTAATACACACCTGAATGCTACAGACCAGCCAACTGCTAAAACATCGGCTTTTATATAGGTGGTCTCACTTGCTGATGATTAATCAAGGGAATTTGATGAGCAGCGCCTGTCTGCTACTTAGAGTCTTAACTACTATTGAGACAGTAAGGGTGTACTTAGGCTTTCACACATGGCTTTTCCATGTTGGCTTTATTTTTGTTACATCATGGCACAGTGCAATATGTCATGTGTCATCGTTCATTTTTGTATTTACATTTTAAGACCTGCTAAGGAACAGAAAAATATTATGTCCTGATATGTAAACCCATAGAATTCAAAGAGGGTGTACTTTCTTTTTCACAGGACTGTATTTATATGTTTAGATAGATATATAAATAGATTTAAAGTTTAGGTAGATCACAGGAAAACTGTCACCTACGGTATGCTGGCAGTAGTTAATGACACACTATCTACAATCCCAACAACCACCATCAGAGAGACCATAAGCTCATGTATACCACAGCATTAGTTGTCCTGCAAAAGCTAGACTACAATATCAGGCTGAAATAGAAGAAATTCCCACTATGGAGACTAAGACTGGAAGCCAAGAGAAAGTCAACACATAAGCAACTTAGTAAGCTGCATCAACAGAGGTGGCAAAATTAATAACTTTTGGCTACAAAGACAAGGATATGATCTGGAAACAGGCATGCAAATACTGACTGCACTGTCAACCAGACAAAGGAAATACACCAGAGAGCAGAGGCTAAGAAACTAAATTGCCTGTGTACAAAAAACCATCCAAGGTTTATGCACAGTTGCAGGTCAACAACACATCCACCCAAAACCCACCCAGACTCAAAACACCATAAACATTACAGGCAAGGATTAGCAGCACCCAGGGGATTCTAGGTAAATTCCTCAGGACCCCCTACCAGTCCAGGATTTGGGGATTACCTGGGTGTGTCTAAGGTGTTTAGAAAAAGTGTTAGGAGATTCTGGTAATTTAAATAAGAATCACGGAAAGAATCAACTATGGAAGGATGGATTATGTATACACAGTAGGAAGATAAATTATTCACGAAAATATATAAATAATTATCATAGGATTAAAACACATGGTAGGATTTGATATACTTAAGAGATAGATTTGTATATATTGTCACACAAACACACAATTGGTTGGGTGGTAATAGTAAGTTATATAAGAAGAATGGCAGATATTCTATAACCAATTAGATAGATCTTTTAAAATAATGGAACTACATAAACTGTTAGTGATTATATATTCATAACTATCAGGGAATCTAGGCTGTAAATAAGATTTTTTTATTTTTTTTCTCCTTTGTGTAATTATATGAGATGATAGAGTTTTCTTAAATATAAGGAATAAGAATTTCGGTTACTCTCCTCATACCGCCCCACCAAGTGTCATCTCTTCTGTTGACACAAATTCCGTGATATGGTGAATCTAAACACCATCTCACGAGGACACAGATGGTCCTGGAGTGGTATGGGCCAGACTGGGTGTTTTTCCCATAAGGTTTTTGTGGGTCTATGTTCAATGGACCTTTTGTGTTGTATGTGAATGCATTGCAGCTCTCTTGGGGTCAGTGGAAACAATGAGTTTTGATTTAATATGGTAAAGATGATTTCAGTTAATGTCCAAGGCCTTAATTCTTTAACCAAAAAATCTTTAATCTATGATTATATGTTAAGAAATAAAGTGGAAGTGGGCTTTTTTCAAGAGACTCACTGGTTGGATATGGATAGTCAGGGCTGGGGTGGCTCAAAATTCCCTATAATGATACATGCTTCTTTAAGTGGAGAAAAAAAAAGAGGAGTAGCAATAGTATTTTCCCACACATTAAAAGTGGATATAATTCATCAAATTAAAGATAAGGAAGGTAGATATGTTATAGTTTGTTGTAAATTGAATGAGATACCTTATACATTGACTAATATATATCTGCCTAATGACTTTCCTACTCCAACCTTAAAAAAAGTCTTAACTTTAATGGAATCTGTCAAAATAGGCACATGTTTGGTGGCTGGGGACTTTAATAGTGTACTGGATCCGATATTAGATAAGAAGACATCTTCAATATTATTACATCAAAAAAGAACAGATAAATTGGCAAAATCTATTAAGAGAAATATGATTAATTTTGATTATTTTGATCTTTGGAGAACGACCAATCCTAATTCATTGCAATATTCGTTTTTTTCACGGGTACATCTTTCGTATTCCCGAATAGATATGGTTTGGGGAAATATGACAGCATTGACGAATATTAAATATTTTAAGATTTAATATAATACTTGGTCAGATCATAGTATTAATATGTGGGAGATGAAGAATCAGTGGATCAGGATTGGTCGTGATACCTGGCGTATGGATGATAATTTGTTAAAATCTAAGATCAATCTTGATATATTGGAAAAACAAATAGTAACCTTTCTTGAAAACGATCCAAATGATACCTCATATACAAATAACTGGTGTGCTTTTATATCTACCATGAGAGGCAATATAATACGTATTCAAACAAGATATAAAGTAGAAAATAATAGATCTTTTATGGTATTACAAACAGAACTGAAAACGGCTGCAATTAAGAACAAGCAGTTTCCCTCTAAAGAAAATGCAGACGAGCTAAAAAGTATCCAGAATAGAATGAATAATTTTCTTATAGCAAAGAATGTAAAAATTAGGAATAAACTCAAAGCTAATTACTACTATAAGGGAAATCGAGCAGATAGAATTATGACCAAAAAATTAAGAGATAAAATTGGATCCAATAAAATAGTAAAGATAGAGGATGAAGACGGGGTATATCTGGACCCCAAAAAAATAGGGGAGAGATTTAATAAGTATTATGAGGCTTTGTATAATTTAACTCCCTCGATAACCAACGAGGAAGACTATCTGAGTAAAATTAATACTCCTAAGATTACAATAGAACAAACTAATAAGCTAAATACTCTAATTACAGCTCAGGAAGTAGAGGTAGTAATAAATAAATTAAAACCAGATAAGACGCCAGGCCCAGATGGTTTCGCAAATATATTTTATAAATCATTTAAAAAACTTATTGTCCCCCACCTAACAGACATATTTAACGAAATTGTATCAGTTGGTAAATTCCCTATAGAAATGTTGAGTGCAAATATTCTTCCAATTCTTAAAGATAACAAAGATCCTCTAAAGGTAGAAAATTATAGACCTATCTCCTTAATCAATACAGATGTTAAAAAATTTTCTTCAGTTTTGGCCCATAGATTAAGAGGATTAATGGATAATATAATTTAAAATGACCAAATCGGTTTTGTACAAGGTAGAGATCCAGTAGATAACTCTAGAAGATTATTGGATCTGATAGATGTATCTAGAAGAAGTAACAAACCTTTATTTGTATTGGCGGTCGATGCCGAGAAAGCTTTCGACAGGGTCGGTTGGGATTTTTTAAGGAAAACGATGGAAAAATTCGGAATTCAGGGAAGGATGCTAAATGCTATTTTGGCATTATATGAAGGTCCTAAAGCAAGAACAGTGGCCCCAAACATATGCGCAGAGTGGTTTACACTTAAAAATGGTACGAGACAGGGTTGTCCTTTGCCGCCGATTTTATATATAATGACAATGGAGATCTTAGCCATTAAAATAAGAGATAACCCTCAAATTAAAGGATTCAAACTCAGAGAAAAAGAATTTAAATTAAATCTATATGCAGATGATCTGATATTGACCCTAACCGACCCTGTCGAATCGCTTAAAGCACTGATGGCAGAAATAGACAAATATAGTCTGATCTCAAATGATAAAATAAATGTAATTAAATCCACTTTTTTTTTAGCAATAAATATTTCCAGAGATTCTATTCAACAGATTAAAGATAAATATAAATTTAATTGTAATAAAAATTTGTTAACGTATTTGGGTATAATTCTCACTGATGATGTTAAAGATACGCTCCAAGTAAATTTTCTGAAAACATTTAGATCGACACATGAGTCTTTAAAGAGATGTAGACAAACTGAACTCTCTTGGTGGGGTAGAATTAATTTGGTTAATTCGTATTTACTACCTAAATGGTCTTATTTATTCCGTATGATCCCCTTGAGAATGCCACAACCATGGTTATCTATGATACAACGAGATATAAATAATTTTATATGGAAAGGAAAAAGGCCGAGGATGAATAAACAACTTTTGATGCAGAAGACTAGGAAAGGAGGGATACATTTTCCAAATGTTACTATAACTTATCTAGCAAATATGATGTTCCATATATATAAGACACAATTATTAAGTTCAGAGGAAGTTGGTTGGTACCAACTAGAATTGGAGATGACAGAAATGGAAAATTTACATCATTTGATTTGGTTAACTAAACAAGATGAAAGAACCAAAAAGGTCTGTTCCTCCAATACATGTTTGAAATCTATATTAATGGAGTGGGAAAAGTTGAGGATTAATAGTGGTTTATGTAATAAAATATTGGGAAATTTTAACCTTAGTATTATCCAACTAAGGATGAAGGATCTAAATTTAGGGGAATGGACAAGGAAAGGTATTGACTCTATAAATCAAATAATAATGGGTGACAAAATTAAATCATTTGAAAATCTGATACAAGAATTCTCATTACCCTGGAAGGAGTGGTATAATTATTTAAGAATTGGAAGTTTTATCAAACAATATTTGCTATATCGACCTACAGTGGGCATAGAAAACCTGATAGTTTTATTAAAAAATGAGATCGTACCGCAAATAGTCTCAAAGGCAAGAAATTGAAGCTCCAAATTTAAATGTAAATATCCAAAAATGGAGTAAAGAGTTAAATGTACAGATTCTTAAGTCTGAATGGGATCAAGTACTATATCAAACAAGTAAGATAATCCATTGTCTGAACCTTCTTGAAGTATTAAATTAATGAACCGCTGGTATCTAGTCCCTACCAGACTAGCCAAAATGTATATCTCCAATTCTCCAATTTGTTGGAGATGTAACGAAAAAGAGGGGACCTTTGGACACATATGGTGGGAGTGCAGTAAGGTGAAAATCCTGTGGTATATGGCTTTCGATTCACTGGAGAATATTACAGAAATAAAAATCCCTAGGGGTCATCATAATGGTTTATTTCATTTAAATTTGCAATCACTCCTTTTCAAGGATAAATTTATATACGTCCATTTTGCAGCAGCAACAAAAATAATCATTGCAAGGAATTGGAAGAGTAGTGCAAATTTTACACAAGCCCAATTATATTCTCAAGTCCAATATCAATTAAATATGGAGGCCCTCGGACATCAGTCAATTAAAATTAGAGACGTCAGTAATTTTTGGAAAGAAAAAGTGGAGAGTATGGACAGAAAAAATTCTGGATAAAATTAAAGTAATTAGATCAGTTTCTCTCTTTTTCCTACATCTTTATCTGTTTAGTATATTAAGGTAGTGAAATAGAGGTGCCACTGAAATACCCCAAGAAGAGTTTGCAATGCATAAAAATAAATGTTTGTCTTTTATGTTTGTAAAAAAAAAAAAAAAAGGGAAGAAAAAAAAACCTTACACTCTAAGGTGTTTTTTTCCTTCTTTTTCTAAACACCTTAGACACACCCAGGTAATCCCTAAACCCTGGACTGGTAGGGGGTCCTTGAGGGCAAGGTTGAGAACCCCTGAACTAGAGGCTGTCTTATTCTTGCAAGGTAATTATTACAGTTTCTCAAAAACTGCAATGATTTACAATGCAGGACTAAGCGAGATCGGGACAATACACCCAGACCACTTCAATGAGCTGAAGTGGTCTGTTGCCTATAATATCCCTTTAAAGCCCATTGACGGCATAGACCGCCATGCATTAGAAATACCTTAGAGGTTAAATCCCTGCTGGTACAAAGGAGCCCCAGGTATTATTGGATACGTGAGGGTCCTTCCTTTTTCAGATGGGGCCACAATTAGTGCTCCCAGACTGACAGATGAGCTATGTGCAGCACTTAAAGTAAGCACTACACATGGCCCCATTACATACTTTTAAATACTGCGGCTGATCAATTGTGCTCCGTTTAGGTGAGTCTGAGCCTAGATGAATGATTAGGGGCTGCCATCATGGGTAAACAATCCATACAGGTGTATGGAGCCTAGGCAGGGTTGCAGAGGGCCTCCCACTCTTAAAAGATGCATGTGAAGCAGCAGCTACCAACTCCTTGCACAGTCACATGCTAGGAGGGTTTGCATAGTTACCTAGTGCCTGTATCTGAAGGAGCTGGTCTTACCTGCCCACGGGGACCAGCTCCTTTACAGTGCAGGGAGTTAGATAGGAAGCTATTTAGGGATGGAGGGAGGGAGAAGGAAAGGCCATTTTAAGCCCCCATACCCACAGTAGCTTATTCTATCATCAAACCACATGGAAGCTGTAGTATTCAGGTGGGAGCTGCCCTGTTATGCTGAAGCTGGGAGGAGAGAAAGTAAGACAGCTGGGGGAGGGAGAGAGGATTTTGGAACTGGGAGGAACTGAAGGAAATTAATCTGGGGGATATAGAGTGTTGAGGAGAGAAGTAGATGAAACTGGAAAGAGGAAGATGAAGCTGGAAAGGAAAGAGGGAGCTGGAGACGAAAAAACGGGAGCTGGGGTGAGAGAGTGATGGAGCTGGGGATAGGAGCTTGGTAAGATAAAGATAAGCTTACTTGCTAGGGAACTAGGCCATTTGTATAAAGGAGCTTCAATGGCTGGATCTCAATTTGCATTGATCTGTGTATATTGTATTGTTCCCCCCCGCTCCCCATTGTACAGCGCTTTGGAATATGTTGGTGCTATATAAATGTCAGTGATAAATAAAGAAAGCTGGGGGCAGAGGGAAATGGAACTGTGAGAAGAGGCAGATGGGGCTTTGGTTTGAGGGATGTTGAGCCGGAACTGGAGAGGAGAGAGAAAGCTGGGTGTGAGATTGAGCTAAAGAGAAAAACAGCAGCTGGGGGTGAGAGAGAAATTGAGCAATGGGAAAGCGAGATGGAGCTGGGGAAGACAGGGTGGTAGAGGTTTGGAGAGAAAGGGAGATAGAGGTTGGTGGAGAAAAGAAGGTGGAGCTTGTGTTGCCCTGCCCCCCCCCATGTGTCTCATCCCCCAACTCTAGCTCCTCCATGTGTCTCATTCTCTTTCCCTCCAGTCCCTCATTCTCGCTCCAGCCCCTCTGTGTGTCTCATCCTCCCTTGACTCCTCATTCTTTACAACCCTCCTCTGCCATTTTCCATCTACTGCACTTTTTCCTCCTAAAAATCCCACCCATCTTTTCATGTATATACAAATCTATTGAATTCCTACTTTTCTCTGTGCATTTGTCCCTTGTCCTTTTAGATTGTCAGCCTATTTTAGCAGGGCACTCTTTATCTCCGGTTTTCTTTTGTTAGAATTAATGGTTTGTCCTGTTGTATCTATTTTACAATATTGCGAAATATGTTGGTACTATATAAATAACTAAGTATAACTCTTGGGTGGTTTTCATCTCCCAGGTTTACTGACTTACTATTATACTGCTCATTTAGCGCAGATTCAATGCAGGCGTACCTCCACATGGAACGAAAATGGGTTGACCTGGAGACAGACGTCAACATTTTCTATCTGGTTACTTCAACCTTGCTGTCTCCTTAATTTCTACCAAATGTCCTACCATACCCCACCCCATGCAAATTTGGAACAATCTGTGTTCCAAATGCAATTTATCTACCGTTCCCTTGTTCCCCACATTTACAGAACTAGGCTTTCTTCCAAGCATGATTCCCTCTCTCTTTGTGGGCCTAGAGCACTCAAGATATTGTTAATTGTATGAGGGTGGTTTCCCAATTGAATACAACCAACTTGTCTCTAGAGCCTCCTTTACTAATAAGATATTTATTTTGCTTCTTACAGCTAAAATCAGCATCATATCCATGCTGCCACATTAGCTCAACTAACTTTTTTTCTCTCATAAAGTCTTCAAGAGGCATTTGTAAAAGGTTTGACTTCTGTCACAGACACCAGTCTTACATATTAGATTGGAAGAAATTAACTTTTGTATCTGCTTGAGAAGCAGATCTAGGGCAACATTTGGAATCAGTTGATTGGTTAGATATATCAAAATGTACGTGTGTGTGTGTGTGGAACAAACTATTACAACTCTTATGCAGTGGTACACCACCCCAAATAAACTTTTCATAAAAGGCAGATCCGCCATAGACACACGCAGGAAACAATGTGGTCTTAATGCCATATAGTCACATGAGGTGGACATGCCCTGCTCTTATCTGTGGACTTTTGGGGCAATATTCTTCCCCCTCCCTGACTTTTATCTGTGGCCAAAGAGTTGGACATTACACTCCCTGGTTGTCCATTGGCTGTGTATGCTGCCCGTGTAATACTCATTTGCAGAGGGGGCGGCCAGGACCCAGAACTTTTTCTGGGTTCTGGCAGATCCGTTTTTCAACTTTCGGGAGCCTGGTGTACTGTGCGGATTGTTGCTGTGGTAACCCACAGCATCGCTTTGACGGCCAGGAGCTCACGAGTTTTGGAGAGAGCACTGGCCATAAACCAGAAGAGAGCGAGTGCTGGGTTGTGGTCACTCCATTTACAATGTGAACGGCGCCCAGAGCAATCGTCCCTCCCCTGGTTACTGCAAATACCAGTATAGTTTAAACAGATACCAATATTTGTCAAAAAGCCGAATATCGGCCAAACTTATCATCGGTTGATCCCAAGTACGCGTTATGCATAATGTTTCCAATTGAGCATTTAACCAAGAACAAATATCAAAGTGTGTGAAAAAAAACCAACAAACACACACACACACACACACACACACACATTTGTAGGAAATGTCACAGAAAAAGTACTGACAATTGTACACACCAAAAAAATAAAATAAAATGCCCTTCAAAACTGAAGCAAGAGAAGTCTAAGCAGCGCTAAAGGTAGTGAATGTTAACTTCGCTGATACAATTTCCCATGACTACGTAATCATTGAAAACAGCCTTTCCTTTTTTTTTTTTTAAAGGCCATGGCGTCAACATTGGACGGTTAAAGGATATATATATATTAATTTCATCTTTAAAAGAGTACATACATTGTTTTCATTTTCAGCATTACAGAGCATTATTCAGAAATCACAGAGTTCTCTGTCGGTAGCTTCCTATTATCCTGCTCATGTCTGTCTGTAAATAATGGAATTGGTATTATATGCTGGAACTTATTCTAACCAATGAACACGGGATACTCCAGGGAGAGCAATTTCCAGTAAAGTAATAGAACAAACCCAATATGCATAAAACAAATCCTAGTCACTGGGCTTTAGCTGATGGAATCAACTACCTGTGTAATAACAAAGCAATGGAACCTATTCCTCTTGTGACAACAAAGAATCTGCTTGTGATTGCTAATGTAGCTTGCTCTAGGTTTTTTTGTAATTAGTGAGATGGCCATAGTTTTCCAAAAACAATGAGAAAATCCTGATTGCCCGTATCTATCATGCCTTTTACTTCTGTGATATAATTGCACAGGAAAAAAAGGCTGTCAGCGTGTGTTGTATAAATCACTGTTACAAAGTAATATAGCCGAGAATGAAAAGTGAGCTAGTTTCAATGTTTTGATCTCCTCTCAAATTAATGAATGTGTATATACGGTGTGGACAAAACAAAAGAAAAACCCAAGAGTATATAAATCTCAAGAATCTAATAAGGTGTCCTGCCAGTCAGTGGGTGCATTTCTTAAACCTCAAAAATCACTGATTTGGAAAAAAAATCACCATCTAAGCTACTGTCACAACTTGGCTATTCTGGCCTTAAAGGGAAACAAGCAACATAACCACTACAGCTTGTTTTATGGTTTAGGAAGGGTTTGACATAACCAGAGCTCTCAGTGACACCGGAGAGAATGTGTCCCTCATCTCCCACAGTGATAATGGAGAAGTACACTTTCACATTATTATTGTCAATTCAAAAAGTTGCAAATTGACATGAAACAATAAAATAATTATTAGGTTTATGTAGATCGAAACTGACCAAGCCAAAGTTGTGACCAAACTTTGTATTTAGAAAACTACTCAGCCTCTGTTCCCTATTCGTAAAACAATATTAATTATAATTACTGCTCTGTTATATCGTGAAGGGGGTTTCACCAACCTTATGAAAAATAATAAACACCCCAGAATCAACATATTCACACATTAAAGGGACACATTAAGCATCAGAACCAATGTATCTTAATGAACTGATTTTGGTAGATAGAATGTCTCTTTTGTGAAGGAATGTAGAACATTCTGAGAAACTGCAATTTAGCGATGACACCGCTAGTGGCTGTGACAGGGACAATCACTTCCTCACAGAAGACTTTAAATTATCCACACATTTGTCTATATTATGCATAGCATGATGTAGCCAAACACTTTTAATGCTTTACTCTAGTGTCATCCGACCTTACTACTACTAAAATGTAAGCTTGTTTAAGAATGGCCCTCACCACCTTTTGTCCCTTTAAGTCTAACATGTCTTGTGACTACTTGTTTGTTTGTCCACCAATTATACAGTGCTGCAGAATGTGTTGGCACTTTAGAAATAATAATAATGGTTCTCTATAAGAAGCATTCAGTTTTATGAGCATTACTGGTCATGACCAATAGGTCCACAATGCTTCTCTTTAAGGATCTCTGTACTATCTTCGAGTGTTTTTAGATTTGATTTTCACAAACAAAAAATGTATTCACACACACACACACATTAGAATTTATCTGGATGCTACAGACTTGATGGCCCTGGGCTGCTAGTTAAATAATCACATCTCCATCTCAAA